GTAGTATGTCCTGGGGACTGTAAAAGCTGCCTGCAGTGGAGGGAGCCAAGGTGTCCAGGGGCGGGCTAAGTTCTGGGATGCCTGTGTACCATGGAATGTGCGCTTGCTGCAGGTGTTTGGAAAGGGAGGTTAAATGTAGGGGGAGTGTGTGCATGCAACATACTAGTATGTGATAAAAGCAGGTTAAAAACAGTATACATACTACGATCCCAGAACAGAGCATCCAAACCTGCTGCCAGGGTCTGCCCAGCACCTGCAAGCTGAGAGCTTGTCTTCTGCACGGAGCGGGGGAAATGTCTCTTGGCCTTCGGTCTCGGCCATAGGCTCAGACAAGATCTTTGCTCCGTGGCGGCCGAGCTCCTCCCTTGCCCTGTGTGCTGCCTGTGCAACAGGAGGAGGAGGGCAGAGCACAGGGCCACACTCACATGACCCACATGGGTTGGGGCTTCTGTAGATATGTCGACCCTTGGTTCTGGAGTCAGCTTCCCAGGCCCCCCTTCAGTTCACCTGGGGATAGCCCAGCCTCCGCCTCCCCGTACTGGCATCTTTTGCCAAGGAACTGCTGAGCCCTGTGTGCCCAGAAAGAAGCCCAGGCTTCAGGGTGAAGTTCAGTTGACTGCCCCCTTTCTCCTTTGGCTCTTCTCATTTGGACTAGGAAAGAGGCAGCTCTGTGGTCTGAATATGGCAGGAATAGGGCTGTGCAGCCTCAGGCCAGTCACTCCTGTGATGAACTTCAGCTTCCTCATGACTAAAGGGTACATCTTCCCTCTGGCACCAGCAGGAGCAACTTCCTGGTACCGCCGGATCCCTTCCCTGAGCCCCACTGTAGCCTCAGTTCCCACACTCTGCCGTGCAGCCTGGGCTTCCCCGCCTGGCACTTCCCAGCGATCCGCACCAGGGGAGCCATGGACCCACTTCTCTGCCCTCTAACCACCTACCTGTAGGTAAAGCCCCAGAGTCCTCCACCACCACCTCACCCTCCATATCCTGGGGCTCCCCTTCACCACCCCTGCACCAAACCTCTCCCCGGACCCTGTCCCAGTCCTTCACAGCAGACTCAAAAAGACCAAACCGGTGAAGTCAGCAGCATTGGCTTTGGCCAATCAACCTCTTGTTTCTGTTTTGTTTTTTTTTAATGTCAGTGTGCCCCTCCAACCGTAAGTTTCCTTGGTCATTTGACAGATTTTACTGAGCACAGACAGCATGCCAGGAATTAAGTCTAGGCGTAGGAGGCAAAGCTGTGAATGAGACACACACAGGTTTCTGGTCCATAACAGCCTCAGACCCTCCGCAGGTAACCCAGCCTGTTTTCCCTTTGGCCCACAGCAGTGTGCCAGCAGTTACAGAAATTTTTAGCAAAATATTAAGAAGCAAGATGCCTCTCATGATGTAGAAGGACCTTCCCTTCTAAAATCACATGGTCAAGAAGTCTTTCAAGATAATCAGAGCCCTGTAGGGCCAGAGAAAGCTCATGAAAAGGAATGTGGGTCCTGCAGCCGCTCCCCCTTTCTCCCTGGAGTGCCCCCTGCCAGACCCTGCTCTGGCTGCAGACACACACACACACCCCCACCCCCTGCCCTCTGTACATCCACTGAGCTATGCCCAGGGACCTCGGGCCTCAGAGACCCTGCTTGGCACTGCTGAGCCCCTATGCAAGGTGCCACCTTCTGCGTCTGTTGGTGGAGCCCAAGGAAGATAATAGTAGGAATGAGGAAAACACTCAAGTGGATTAGGCTGATGCAAAGTAGAGCTAACTACTGCTACCACAACAGGCACTGCTTCTAATGGGTGCCCTACCCAGAAAGGACACCCAGGAACAATGTGTGCAATTGTGTGAGATTGTGCAAGTCATTCTGCAGAGCAGATTTGCCCTGTCCCTCACTGAATCCCATGGGCTGGCTGCCCACCACCCCCCCCACCCCCCGCCCAGTCAGCCTGCTCCAGACCCCCAGGCGCAGAGGCCTGGGCCATGTTGTGACTGTCCCTCACTGTGCGGCCTTGGCAACCCTCCGCTCTTCTGTCTGGGGTCCACTCAGTGCTAAGAGATTGCATTGTGTTCAGTTAAAGAAGAAAACACTGCTCCTCCCCTGGGGTAGAGAAAAGGTGGGGAGTGTTTTAGGAGAAACACTTGTTCCAGACCCAAGTGCTTTGGCCCTGAGGTGGGGGGTTGGGCAGCACGGTGGCTTCCACTGCAGAGGGGCGTGTCCCTGCCCCTGTTCCCAGGCTGCTGCCGCCTAAACCTTCCACACTGCATTGTCTGCAACAGACCCCACCTGACCAAGAAAGGAGCCTGGAACATAATTTTAGAGTTCGTCAGGTGGAGATTTAACTCTCCCTTTGCCATTTGTTCATGAGCTTTGTGATTTGGATTCAATTGAGTTCTCTGAGCCTCAGTTTCTTTGTATAATGTGGACAATTTGTATCTCAAAGGTTTATTGGCAGAACTTTTTCAGGTGGTGAATATAAAGCTCCAGCACAGTGCCAGGAGGTGGTCAGGGCCCATGTCCATTTGTACCTTCGCATGTCACGTCCCCCGCAAAGAGCAGCAGTGGGGGCCCGGGGAGCTCCCTGAGGACCACTGCTTGCTGTGCTCTTCCCTCAGCATCTGCAAGGCAGGCTGCAGCCAAGAACAGGGCACCCCAGTAGCCCCACTGGCCGTGTCACCTGTTTCCTCACAACACCTGCCCCTGGTTGTGAGGACCCAGTAAGAGGACGGTGGGAGCCAGGGCCCAGGCGCAGGACCAGGAGGCGCCGCGAGGCTGCATCCTGCCTCTGCCCCCGTCCTGTCCCTTCTTCCTCAGTAGTGGGACCCAACCAGGACAAGTGCTGTTTAGTTACGTGTGTCAGATTCACTTAAACATAGAAACTTTTTTAACATCTAAGAAAATCTCTATTAATTGAAATGCTTAGGCCAGTGAGATGTTCTACTTTGTTAGCTCCCTAATAGTAACTCATTAAGAATTCAAACACACACTAGCTCACAGTGAGCTCTCAGTAACTGTTAGTGCAGTGGAGTAGAAAGTCCCTTTTCCCCAATAATCATCCTCGTGAAGAGGTTTCTAGGAGGCAGTAATCCCTTTCTTCCTTAGTAAGACGGTGCAGTAACTTCCAGAATAATGTTTCTTGCCTTTGAGGATTTGTAGCACCTTGTTTTTTTTTATATAGTCCAGAAAGTATTCAGCCATGTAGCCATGTAATATGAAATAAAGACATTTATTGAAGAAGATACAAGAAACATTGTACATAGTACAGTGACCCCTCAGTCCCCTTCAAAGTAGGCACCTTGGGACCTGACATAGTTCTCCCAGTTGCCATCAGCTGACCTGTCGTATTTTCCTGAGTCTCATCAACGGTCTGAAATCTCTTCCCTTTCAGAGGTGATTTTAGTTTTGGGAAAAGCCAGGAGGTGCAGGACACCAAATCTGGCTGAGTCACCTGGTTTGATGTTTCTCAAAAAAACTCTGCACGAGACGTGATGCATGGCAGGCGCAGTGTTGTGATGGAGCTGCCAATCACCAGTTGCCCACAGCTGCGGCCTCCTGAATCATCCAGATAGTTGCCACGGAGGATGTTCAAACTTAACGCAAAATTTGATGCAGCTTTGTTGCTCTACACTCTCAGTCATTTTGAATGTGACAGCCACACAGTACACATGCTCACTCGCCAGTATTTACAGCCCGCGCTGACTGGTACAGTGAAGCCGTCATTGCTCACGCACGCACCTTCCACCGCACTCTCCTTGGCTGCCAGGTTACATCAATGTCATGGAAAGTGTCCTCATTATATTACCAATAGTTGGACTTTTTCCAGGCAGACCTTCTAGATATTAAAATTATGTGTGTATAGATATTTAAAACTAGTATATAGTCTAACTAATCCCACAGAATGCAGGGTGGCAAGGCCAGGAGGTCAGGATGCCCCTGCCCTGTGCCCAGGATGTGCTCTGACAACTGTTTGCTTTGATTTTCCGTAATCTCCTTTGTTTCTGTTTTGCTTCCATTCGCCTCTTTCTTCTCAAAGCTGCATCCTGTGCCCAGTTCTCTTGACTGAGGTCTGGTTAATGAAGGCCTTAACTCTAATGGAGGTTAACTCTCTGTTGGGTCTGGTTTTCCTAGTTGTCAGTCTTCATTGCCCTGAATGCTTGTGAAGGCTTAGGAGTAAGTGTTGGGGTTACAGTAGGAGGTGGGAAAATTACTGCAGTGCCACCCTTTTTGAGGTTCGTTGTTTGGTTCAGTTCAGGTCCTCATGTAGGTGTCATCATCAGGTGGAGAAGTTCAGACAGGTACCCGCCTCCCACTACCCTTCCCTGCCAGCCCACCCTTGATTTGGGCCCATCGTGGCAGCAAGAACTTGTGTGGTGGATCCTGGGCTCAGGGCTGACACAGGAACTGACCTTATACCTGGAGCGGTGCCCAGGGCCTGCGGCACCTTCTGCAGGCCCAGAGGAATTAAATCTGTGAAAATGAAGCTTGCACATGCGTATATGTGCCCATCTGGGCTCTGGAGGGGCATCCATGGCAGCGGTGACAGTTGCCTCAGGAGACTGGGATTTGTCCACCTGCCCTTCACCTTGGATGGTCATGGAACCTCTTCCCCAGGGAAATGCGCATTAGCTCAGAAGTGGGCCAGGGCTTGGGCCGGGCTGGGCTTGCGCTGTCCCCCAGGGCTCCAGCTGTTGTGGCCCAGCTCTGCGCCCATGCTCATTCCAGAGCCAGCACTGCCCAGCTCACCTGGGTGCCACTCAGGTGGGAGTGGGCAGCCTGGATGGATTTGTCTGTGGCTTCCCTTGACTACCTGCATGCACAAGGCCTCTGGCTACCTGGCCTGGCCTCCCTGAGAGCCCCAGTACCTATACCAGTACCAGTACCTCTCTACCGCCTCATAGTACCTGTGACAAAAGGGAAGAATTTGGCAAGGAGCCATGAAAAGCCAGCCTGACTCCCTTAGGCGGCCCAGCCATCTGTGCAGGAGGGCCCTCATGTTCTCCTTTCTGCTCGTAGGGGTCTAATGTGATGGAGGAGCAGGACCTGCGGGAGATTGGCATCAATGACCCGCAGCACCGCCGGAAGCTGCTCCAGGCCGCACGGTCTCTGCCCAAGGTGATCACCCACAGCTCTGCAGCCTCAGCCTTCACCAGAGCCAGGGCCACCTCCCCAGAGCCCAGAACAGGGAAGGACCTTGGCTCTGGGCGTGCAGATCACTCTGGGATGCCCGCCCTCATCCTGGGGATCGCAGAGCGCCCGCAGAGCGCCCGCAGAGCGCTAGGGCCACTGAGAACCTGGCCTGGCCTCAGTGGGGGTTGCAGCCTCTGCCTGGCGTGGGAGCACAGTGTCCACAGTCTCAGCCCCTGGAGCCTTTTTAGGGTCCTCCTGAATCACATGAGACCAGGCCAGCCTGTGCCGACCCCTGGTGTCTTTCCCTGGGGAGCCAGAGGCTCGTAGGGCCTGGCCTTTACTTGAATATGCTGGCACTGAGTCCAGTGTCCCCTTGTCCTTTCCTCTTGCCCAGAACTCAAGAAATGTAAACAAATCCCAACAAATGAGGTCAGTGCCTTCTTCACAGAAACACAGATTTCTTGTCGCACCAGGTCCATGACCTCCTTAGAACATAGTAGGAGCCTTCTGCAAACCCTCCTCCCCATCTAGCCTAACCCGGGATGCTCTGGTGATCTCTAGATGGGAACCCGAGTCCAGAGCCACAATAGAAAATGCTGTCAAAGGGAGGGACTTGGGGGCGTCGCCTCTGGGGCCCTCAGAAGCTGTCTCATACCCACCCCAGCTGTGGTCTCTCATATGATCTATGTGAGCTAGCACCGGTCTCCATGGTCTCCAGGGACCTTGTTCCACGAATGCTGAGATGTCAGTCCTGCCTCCCCTCCTTACCCTACAGGTGAAGGCCCTGGGCTACGACGGGAATAGCCCCCCAACAGTGCCGTCCTGGCTGGACTCCCTGGGGCTGCAGGACTACGTCCATTCCTTCCTGTCCAGCGGCTACAGCTCCATTGACACTGTGAAGAACCTCTGGGAGCTGGAGCTCGTCAACGTGAGTGCAGCTCCTGCTCAGCCTGGCTTCTCCAAGTGGGAGTTGCCCTGGACTGCCAGCCTGGCCTGGGCGGTGAGGTCTGGTGACTGGGGGTGCCCTGGCCCAGTCACCATCTGACTGTCGCTTTCCCTCCCACTCAGGTCCTAAAGGTTCACCCACTTGGCCATCGCAAGCGCATCATCGCCTCCCTTGCAGAAAGGCCCTACGAGGAGCCACCCCAGAAGCCCCCAAGGTTTTCCCAGCTTAGAGTGAGTTGGGGAAGGATGGAAAGAGATGTGTGTGTTCTTTGTATTGTTAGAAATTGAAGGGAATTCTTTAGGAATTGTTCCCAGACAGCATGACCTCTGGTAGACGAGCAGAGGATACCTTCCCTCTTGTCGTTGGGGCCAAGTCTGCCCAAGGCCCAAGTCAGGGCGGGGGAAGGAGGGCAGTTGTTTGGGCTGGTTATTTATCAATCACAAGCCTCCCTTCTAAAGAATAAGTAGGAAGTACAGTGTTAGGATCCTGAATAACCAGTTGAACACAAACTGGAGAAAAGCCTTTTAACCAAGGATAGACAGAAGAAACAACTTCACCACCACATGACTGGGTAGGGAGTGCAGAGGATGCTCAAAACGGTTGGCTGAGCTCCCCATAGGCAGCAGATGAGGTTCTGGAGGGATATTTCAGCGGCCAGGGGCTTCCCGCTGAGAAGTTTGGGATCTAAATCCCAGGCTGGGCTCCCCAGACTACAGTACCAGATCCATGAAAGGAACCCAGATAACATCCAGCTGGGAAAAGCGGTGGGGTTTCTCTCTGCCAGGGAGAGATGCCTGGAGGTGCAGAGAGCCTCTTAAAGGGCCAACACAAAAAATTCTATTTACAGCCACATTCCCTGGGCTCCAGGAGAAGGAGGGCAGAGTGGACTAGAGACGCTTGAGGAGAGTCTGGGGCTGGTGGCTCTGGAGAGAGAACGAAAGGAACAGCCACCAGGGTCCCTGTACTGAGTCATTTCCTATACTGCAGAGGCCATCTTTCTGAGGCAGAGCACTTCCCCTCCATCAAGTAGCATCACCTTGAGGGGAAGCAATAGCCCCACCTGCAGGAATTACCCTGCCCTACACTGTGGAGCTTAAGCCACGATGCTAAGTATAGCCTGAAGCTATATTGCTGATTAAGTTTAACAACTAAGGCAGATCTCTGGGAGCTCTGAGACTTTAGCTGGCCCTCCCCTGGGCCCGGTGCTGGTAAAAGCCAGCCTTTGTGCCCAGCCTGGTCCTTTCTGCACACATTCAGGCCCAACAGAGGGTGCCACATGCTATGGATCGTTGATAGCTCCAAACAGATTGCCCAGGGTCAGTCTCAAGCAGCTTATGACAAAGGACTACACCAGAGTCTTTGCATATATACCTAATACGTAGAAACAAATAAGCAACTAAAATGGAAAGACAAAGAAACAGACACCAAATGAAAGAACAAGAGAATTCTTCAGAAGAAGAACTAAATGAAATGGAGGGAAGCAATTTATCAGATAGAGAGTTTAGAGTAATGATTATTAGGATATTCAACAGCATGAAAAAAGACACAGACACCATATAAAAGGACCAGTCAGAAATAAAGATTACAATATCTGAAATAAACAATACACTGGAAGGAATAAACAGTAGGTTAGATGAAGCAGAGGATCAAATCAGTAATTTGGAAGATAAGGTAGGAAAAAACACCCAAGCAGAGCAGCAAAAAGGAAAAAGAATTTTAAAAAATGAGGAGAACTTAAACATTTTAGACAACATTAAACAACAACATCCATACCATGGGAACACCAAAAGGAGAGGAGAGTGAGCAAGGGATCGAGAACCTATTTATAGAAATAATGACTGAGAACTTCCCTAATCTGGTGAAGGAAAAAGACACACAAGTCTGGGAAGCTCAGAGAGTTCCAAACAAGTTGGATGCAAAGAGTCCTATACCGAGACACATCATAATTAAAATTGAAAGGCTTAAAGGCAAGGAGAGAATTCTAAAAGCCTCGAGAAAAGCAGGTAGTTACCTCCAAGGGAGCACCGATTAGACTGTCAGCTGATTTCTTAACAGAAACATTTCAGGCCAGAAGGGTATGACATGAATTATTCAAGGTGATGAAAAGCACGGACAACCAAGGCTACTTTGCCTAGCAAGGCTACCATTTAAAACTGAAGGAGAAATGAGGAGTCTCCCAGACAAGAAAAAGCTAAAAGACTTTGTTAACACCAAATCAGTAAAGCAACAATAAAAGGGATTGCTTTAAGAAGGAAAAGGGGAAGGGGAAGGAAGGGGAAAAAAAAAGGAAAATAATCCAGCAATAAAATGGCACACTAAATACATATCTATGAATAATCACCTTAAACATAAATGGTTTAAATGCTCCAACCAAAAGACAGAGGGTAGCTGAATGGGTAAGAAAACAAGATCCATATGTATGCTGCCTCCAAGGGACCTATCTCAGATCAAAAGGTACACAGAGACTAAAAGTAAAGGAAAGGGGGAAAAAAAGCTGGGTAGCAGTACTTATATCCAGCAAAATAGACTTTAAAACCAAGGCTATAGTGAGAGACAAAGAAGGACACTGCATAATGATAAAGGGAACAATCTGATATGAGGATATAACCCTAGTAAGCATTTATGCACCCAACATAGGACACCTAAATATGTGAAGTACAACGTTAGGAAAGCAGGGAAACAAACATCCAAATCCCAGAGGGCTGGGTGCAGTGTCTGAGTGCAGAAGTCAGCTGCTGATGGGCAGTGAGCCGGTGACCAGCGTCTGGCTCTGAGTGCCTCCAGCCACTTCCCGCGGCCTCACAAAGTGGGTGCTGTTTTATCCTCACCCTGAACATGGGAAGCTGAGGCAGACTGGGTCTGAGAACCACACACAGCTAACATTCAGCTATAAAAACTGCAGACACTGATTCCTATTCTTGTAAGGTAGGGCCTCAGAGTGCCAGTTGCTGCTGCTGCTGTGTTTTCTCAAGAGAGAGCTTTGGATTTGGTCCCGTGCCCCAGGGACCCACGATGGATTGTGACATATTTTGACCACTGGAAAGCACTTTCCAGCCCTATTACCTCCCCTTTACCTATGTGGCTCCAGGCCAAGGGGCATGCTACCGAACTGGGGGTCCCGGGAGTGCCTGTTCGCCCACAGGGCTTCTAGTCCAGCAAGAATTGGATTGCGTTGACTGTACACAGGCTGGGCCCAGCGAGCCATTTTTCTGGCTCCTCCAAGCCCAGAGCCTGTCCTGTCTGGCTGACTGTGCTGCCGGTGTGGGCCCTCAGCAGCCCCAGGCCCTGGCCCGATGCTTTTGAGTTTCACCTGGACTTCTCCCTGCTGCAGTGCCAAGACTTGCTCTCCCAGACATCGTCCCCCCTGAGCCAGAATGACTCGTGCACTGCACGGTCTGCAGACCTGCTGCTGCCTCCTGGGGACACAGGCCGAAGGCGGCATGACAGTCTTCCTGACCCTGCGGCACCCTCTCGAGCAGAGCGCTTCCGAATCCAGGTGAGGCAGGACAGGGTGCTGCACGCGGAGGTCTCCTCGTTCCTCTGGACAATACAGAGCCTCCTAGTCCCGGCCCCACGCCTGAGCACTGTCGGGAGCAGGAGAAAGACACCAGCCGTCTCCCGGCCACCCCGTTCAGTTGCCTGTGCCGGGCACCCAGCCCCTAAGCTTCCTGGTGCTGCCACTTACGACTCACTTCCACTGTCACTGCCAGGGCCTCCCTCCTCAGAAGTCACCCACTCAGCCCCATCTTGGCCTTTTTGTCCTTACCCTCCCCATTCCCCAGAACTTTCTGTCCCTCCCCCATAACTCTACCTCCTGCTGTTCCACCCAGGCAGCCTGGATCCAGCTCAGCTCTTCCTGCTGTTTCTGTAGCTCAGTGGTGGGGGCAGCTGCCAGCCATACACTCTCAGCTGTGCTTCCCACCTTCGCACACTCCCTGGACTCCCCCCCCCCCCCCCCCCCCGGCACCCAGCCCCTGCCATTGTGCATGAGAGCTGCCCTCCAGATTGGGGGTGCTCCTCGTCACCCTCAGGATGCACTTTAGCTTCACTTCTTTTCCTTCTCAACTCACACTCACTTCTGGCCTCTGGGCATGTCCTTGACCCTTCCACAAGCATGGCCGTGAATTTTACAAGATTCAGTAAACGTATGGTCTGGCAGCTCTGATGGCTCTAGTTGGCACATTGCTGGGAATGGGAGTCGTAAATACTTACTGGATCTTGCCCCTCTGACCCATTCCTTCCACCAGTGCCCTAAGGAGGGACCCTATCCTCTCGGGGTGGGACTGCAGTGGCCTACCCTACCCCACCCCCATCCCCACTGCTGCCGGACGCTCCCTGCTGTGCACCCCTGGCCCTGGAGCCCTCCATCACTTTCCCACGCCCGGCTCTGACCCAGGGGCCTAGGCTGGGACGTGAGGCTCCCAGGGATCTGGTTCCTGATCCCCACGCCTCATGCGTCATGACGCCCCACACAGACTTGTTTTCCCCTCTGTGGTTTTGGTCATTTCTTGTCTGTCGAGGATCATCTCAGACACCACAGTGCCTTTCCGACCAAGCCTGCTGTCGGTGGCTTAGGTCCCCGCTTCGCCGCCTTTTCTCTGACTTGGATGGGCCTCACCTGTGCCATAGTGCCTGTGATTGGCTGTCAGCCTCCTGCCGTCCCCACCCAGCCCTTGGCCTTCCGGCGGCCGGCTTCCTCACCCTTGGGTGAGCCGCAGCGAGGCGCCGAGCCTGTGCGCTCCGCTGCACGAGTGGGGCTGGGGCAGACTGACCTTGCGTGTCCTGCAGGAGGAGCACCGCGAAGCCAGGCTGACCCTTCGGCCCCCCAGCCTTGCTGCCCCCTATGCCCCTGTGCAGAGTTGGCAACATCGGCCAGAAAAACTCATCTTTGAATCCTGCGGTTATGAAGCCAATGTGAGTCGCCCTGCCCGCCCAGCCCGCCCAGCCCAGTTCCCTGCCTCCTGCCTCCTGCCTCCCACGCTGCCACCTCACCCCGCTCAGGGCTCCTCAGACGCTCCCAGGGGAGGCGGGCCACCCCAGCTGGCATGGGGGCTGGGAACCATTGAGGGGAGGAACTGTCTGACTATGGTCCTAAATTGGTTGGGTCACCCCTGTGTGATAATGTGGGGCACTTCCTAAGCCCGGCCACTGCTCACTCCCACAGTATCTGGGCTCCATGTTGATCAAAGATCTTCGAGGGACAGAATCCACACAAGACGCCTGTGCCAAGATGCGGGTGGGTTATCTTTGTGGGATGAAGAGGGGCTGGCTAGGACACAACGCAGCACACAGGGGACCAGCTGCAGCCACCTGGGCCCTATGTAAGGTTGGGGGTGGGAGAGGGAGGCTGGGGGCTGTGGGATCCAAGGGGCTTAGCCCTGAGAAGGAGTGTTCACAGGCTGCTGTTTTCTGTAGAAATCCACGGAGCACATGAAGAAGATCCCTACCATCGTCCTGTCCATCACGTACAGAGGTGTCAAGTTCATTGATGCCTCCAACAAGGTGTGCTTCTCACAGGTGCTGGTGGGAGGAGGGGCTCCTTCTCCCTGTCCTTTATCCCCCACTAACTGGGTATCTTCCCTAGAGTGTCCTCAGCCCCTTTTATTCCTCTCCCTCCCCACCTTGACTGGGGGGTAGGGGTAGGCTCATGCACCCACACATGCTGGTCCTGGGGCCTCGCACTAGTGCCCACCACTCCTCACCCTCCTCAACGTGGTTTCCATCGCCCCGCTTACCTGTTCATAGGCCTTTAATGATGTGAGTCCCTTAATGAGCGAAAGACTCCCTCATACCCCATCTGGGTACCCCACCCTGCTGATACCTTTCCCTCCTCGCCCCCACCCTGGAAGGCAGAGGGAGCTGGGGAGCTGCTGATTGGATGTGAACATTTACTCCATCAGCTGCATGGTCAAGGGTGGAGACCCCAAACCTAAGTCATGCAAGGCTAGACACTGCCGGCCAGCACTCCGTCCCCCACCCCAACCCCCCCCCCAAATGAGAAGAGGAAGTGGTGTTTGGCTGACACCCTAGGCTGGGACTGAGGAAGGCGGTGACGGTCAGAGGGCTAAGGCGTGCCCTCAGGGAGCCCGAGGATTCCAGACCCGGCCTTTTTTTTTTTTTTTTTTTTTTTTTTTGGCAGAACATCATTGCTGAGCATGAGATCCGGAACATTTCCTGTGCGGCCCAGGACCCGGAGGACCTCTGCACTTTCGCCTACATCACCAAGGACCTGCAGACCAGCCACCACTATTGCCATGTTTTCAGCACCGTGGATGTGGTGGGTAGAGTCCTGCGCGGGGCACAGCTGGAAGGAAGGGGCCTGCGTGGAGATGGCCTCGGGCGGTGCTGTCCTGGCACCTGTGGCCCTTAGCACATGTTTCATTCAGGAGTGAAGCCGCAGCAGCCGTCTAGTCCAGTCCCCTCTCTACAGCAGTGACACTAAAGCACGGAGGACAAGTGGCTTGTCCAGAGTTCTAGTGACAGGTTTTCCTTCTTCTGGCACGTATTTGTCAGTCAGTCATAGCCTCTGTCTCCCCTAAGTGGTTTGTCAGCCGCCACCTTAATTCCCCGATTCCGCAGCGGGGCAGCCTCCCTGAAATGCCCTGTGCCTGCCTGGTGGGGGCAGCGGCACCCCCAGCAGAAGGTTTTCTTCCCCCAGATTCCTGCTTGCTCTAGGCTCTGTCCACGGGGAGTGGACACGTGGAGGGCTCCCTCTGCCCTGAGACCAGGCCCCAGGCTGTCTCCTTCACCCCACACTCTTGTCCAGGGCCCTGTTGCCTTTGGGGAGAGTAGCTAGTTCCCAAATCTGTAGCTTCTGGAAAGGCAGTTCAGCCGTTCCCAGCCCCAGGGCCTCAGCGCTGGCTCTGGGCCTGGCATCAGGCGTCTCACCTGTAAAGGGGACATAGTATGACCAACCACATGAGTTGGTCTTGAAGATGAACTGTGGTAACCCACCCAGCCCTCGCCATTCCTGACACTTCCTTGCCACTCACATTTCCCACGTCAGTCAGTTCTACTGCGATGCATCTGTGCGCTCCTGACGATCACCCTGCTCTGTGAGATAACAATGAGAACCAGGGTGTACAGGGACGTGGGGCCAGGGGCACAGCACTCAGAAACTTCATCAGCGATGTTTCAAAAAAGATAGGAGCTGAATAAAAACACCAGCACCATTTTGGTCACATTAAATGGCTAAGGAGTACATAAATGCCCCCAATAAACATGACCCTCTCCCTTGAGAAATACCTCGCGTTGGCCTGTGGGAGAGGAGAGTACAAAAGAGCTAAAGAGAGACAAGCAGGGAGCAGGGATGGCCATACAGACAGGACAACAGGACACGGAGGCCAGGCGGCCCTGGGAAGGGAGGCAGCCCGTGAGCTGGTGGCACAGCTGAGGTAGCAAGTGTGGGTGCCGTAGCTCATTGTCCCAACCTGTGCGTGTTTCTTTGTATTCCCAGGGGACTTGGGTCACTGGCTGCAGGTTTTGCATTTGCCTAGTGTTTCTCTCAGAGGAAATCGTGCATGAGAAAACAAAACATGTTAAGCTCAGATTCTTCCCTAGTAATCAATTGCTTTGGGACAAAAAGAAGTCGTGGCAGAACTGATCGCACCTTGCGCCCTGTCCGGGTGCCGCCATGCCTGCGCCCGGGGTGGGAGGCAGGGGAAGCTCCTCCGCCCGTCCGCCTGAGGTGTGCTGTTTTCTCCCAGAACCTGACCTACGAGATCATCCTGACACTGGGGCAGGCGTTCGAGGTGGCCTACCAGCTGGCTCTGCAGGCCCAGAGGTCGAGACCGCTGGGGGCCTCTGCAGCTGAGATGATTGAGACGAAATCTTCCAAACCGGTGCCTAAGCCTCGTGTCGGCATGAGGAAGTCAGCAGTACGTGGCCTGTCACCGAGACCCCCATGCCCTGGGCTCATGGTGGGGGGCGCCTCCCACACTTAGGCAGCTGTCCATCCTGGCGCCCTGCTCGGCAGGCTCTCCGGGGCCCGGCCCCCATGGGGCTGCAGGGCGGTGCAGGTGCACCCCGTCACATCGCCCATGTCCATGTCTGCTTTGCTTCGCACCCCAGGTGCCGCTGCCCCCCTATAGTCGCTATTGTTACTGTCACACCTGTACCACCCATCACCCTTCTTCACCCACCACTGCCATCCGTTAGTCCTGGAGTCTGACATCGCCCGTGTCTGTGCCGGTGTTCCAGGAGTGACCGTGAGCTTCCTGAGACTCGTGGCCTCCACCTGCCTGCGTGGCACCCTTCTTTTCTGAGCTGCCTTCTTGCCACCCTGTGTGTGCTTTAGCCGTTGTCCTGTGTGTCCTTCCTCCAGACACCTGGGGTGCCAGCTGTGGTCTCACCCTGGGTGAGCTTGCTGGCCCCTCCAAACCCCTTTGCAGTTTCCCCTCGCAAACCCCTTGCAGTTTCCAAACCCCTGTCCCTTCCTGCCACAGCTTTGGGGCTTAGAGCCTGACGTCGGGCTCCGATAAGCAAACATCTCCAAGAAATCCCCGGGACAAGCTGCCCGTGCCGAGGCCCAGAGATGGCCCTCCCACGATGATCCAGGGAGAGTGTCCCTTCTGCCACCCCATCCCTAAGGAACCTGCTCTTTGACTTCCCTCCTGGCAGGCTCTGCATTTACCGCGCTCCACACCCCTCTCAGGCTTCTAGCGTCAGTCTGTAGGGCGAGCTGCTTGAGAAGCCTTGGGCTGAGCAGGCAGCTGATGGTCGCGGTCACCTAGATGTTAGGAAGCTAGTCTGAGCTCAGTCCGCCCTGGCCTGGGGCATGGAAGGGGCAGCCAGGCCCTGTTGCCCTCTGGCCCAGGTGCAATGTTCTCCAACTTCTCACCCTCTTCCTTGGCAGCTGGAGCCGCCTGACGTGGACCCAGATGCCCAGTCCCATGCCAGTGTCTCCTGGGTGGTGGACCCCAAACCAGACTCTAAGCGGAGCCTCAGCACCAAGTATGAGACCACTATCTTCTAACCACCCGCTCCCTGTCTCCACTAGTCTCACTGTGCCTTGCCACCCGATCTTTCTGCTCTTCTCAACTCTCCTTCCAGCTGCTGACACCAGGCCCCGCTCCGGGACCTGCTCTGCTCCTGGGCAGCAGCTGCAGACACTGCACACTCACAGCTTGTACCTACCACCGGACACTGTGAATCCCCCTGGGCAAGGACAGCTTGGGGGGTGAGTTGCCTTTGAGGTGGGCACCAAGAGGGCTGCGGGGCCCGCAGCGCCCCCGAAGCCTCAGCGGGCAGGCACTGTGAATCCTGAGGGTGGGACGGTCTTCGAGCAGAGCCCAAGCAGCCCAGTGACAGCTCGCTGTGATCGGGCTGGGCCCCAGCTCTCCTCTGCTGTCATCCGTGCTGCGCCTCAGCTGGTGCCGCTGCTAACAGCTCTCTCTTTGCACCTTTCTTGACACAACCAACCACTGTGACCACCTGGTGCCAGAATTCCCTTGCACTCTTCTCACAGTTTGCCTGCAGCCTTGTGTCTCTCTCTCTCCCACGTGCGAGGTGCTGGCCTCCCCACTGTGAGACCAAGCTCAGCGATGTAGCTGGACCAGGGTCAGGCTGCTTTCTCTGAGGACCACGGTCCATGCCAGGCCCTGGGGCGCATGCTCGACTCCAGAGCATGGGGCACTGAGCGTCTGAACACCGCAGGCTGGCTTCTCTCAGCAGGTCTCTCGGTCCTGATGGGTTTTCCACTTCGAGGAAGGGAACGGCATATGGGGTTGGCCCCTCGCGTCTTCGCCAGTGGGTCACAGGCTGGCTCTGGAGTCCCGCTCACAGAGGAGGAAGGCCTTCCTGTGTCGCCCCACAGGAGGGAGGCCTGTGCCCCGCACACACAGTGCACCATCTGCCCTCCCACAGCGGAGCCCCTCAAGGGCCAGGACCTGGACTGAGCAACTGCCATTGTCCTCCAGGGGCTTCCTGACACATCCAACACGTGTCCACAGTATGGGGATCAAAGATAGTCGGCTGTCACCCAGTCCCTTCCCCGCATGCGGGCTGTGCAGTCTGTCACCACGGACTGGGCCACCAGCTGCAATCGCGGGGGCCAGGCTCTGGAGAAGCCGTACGTTGTGCCGGGCAGGCCAGTCAGCTTAGGTGGCAAGAGGCAGGGGGAAGAGGTTCCAACAGGGAGCAGTGCAGACACAGCGCAGCCCAGTAGAAAAGCCAGCACGTCGCAGCAGCTATGTTAGAATCGAAACCCAAGCTGGTAAACCAGGGTGGTCCTCCTGCCCGCCTGCCTGCCTGTCCTGTGCCTTCCCAGGCAGATGCACTGAGCCAGAGGTGACCGGGGACAGTGGGCCATGGGCGCCCAGGGGAGGCTGTGAGGGACCTCCTGTTCCGCTTCTTGTTCCCTTTCCGCTTCCTGTTCCCTTTCCGTGTTCTCCACCTGTGCCTGCCCCTTGGTTAATCCTTTCCTCCCCCCATTGTTTGCTTCTGCCAAGCTGAGCCACTGAGGAACCGTCTGCTGCGGAAACACAGGTGCAGGGAGCACAGGCTTCCGCCGCCGCCACCTCCACCGTCTCGCCTGCAGCTTTGAAGACCCAGGCCCGCCTCTGCCTCGGGGACTCCTCTCAGCTGCCTGGCCTGGGCCTGCCCCTCAGGGTTCTGCAGAGTGAGCCCTGCCCTGGCTGCGGAGCACTGCGGGCGTCTAGCCGAGGAGACTGGAACTCCAGAGGGTCAAGAAGTGACTTGTCCAAAACACATTTTTTAATAGAAAAAAATTTTTTTGATAAAATGAACTTTTAACACTTGGCCCTGGCCTCTAGGTTAAACTGCCAACCTTTTGGTAGTGGCCATAGGATCAGAGGACAGGGAAACCGAGATCAGTCAAGGCCAGTCTGTCTAGCTTCTGTCCTCAGGATGGGGTTTTGGCAAGCTCCGGGAGGTCTGACGAGAAGGCAGCGGCCTGTGGGTAGTGGGAAGGGCTGGGCACAAGGGACAGAATTGACTACGTGTTTTTAGAGTTTGCTTTTCAAACCCATCCAAGTTAGATACTGTTCCCTATGAACTGCACGCTTCTTGTCCCCATCTAGACCTGGACACAACCTTAGGGCCCCTGGCAAAAGCAAAGGCTCCCGGTCTGAGTTGGGTTCCAGAAGCGAAGGTCCAGGGGTCAAACGGAGATGAGTGAGCAGTTCTGGTGCCATGGAGTCCGAGCCGGCACCTGGAGCGCTGGGCCCTCCGCGGTCTCCCACCTGCCGCTGGTCAGAGCACTGCCCTGGGCGCCCTGGCCCGCCTGGCCCACCGGCTTCCTGGTGACTTCAGACTGGCTGGGTTGAGTGAGAAAGGAGGAAAAGCAGCTTCGTTTCGGGCATTAATGAGTAGGTGAGCTAAGACGGCTACCTGCCAGTTTGTGATTTGTGTCATCAGGTCTCTGTGATTAGGACTGTCTGAATTACTGGTTTGACCATTGTATTTTCAGCTGCTGGCTCATCTCTGGCTCCAAGTGTAGAAACGGCAAAGGTGACAGTTTGATTCTCCCATGTGGCCTTCAGGGCAGGCTGGCGTCTTCTGGGTGCCCCGCTGTCCCTTCAGCCCTCCTGGGGCTTGCTTTGCTTTTTACTGCGGTTGTGTTCCTTCACCCGGGGTGTAGCAAAACGAGGGGCTGGTTCCTGTAAGACCAAGAGGCAGCGTCAGGGCAGCTGATTGTCCAGGATCTTCCAGAGCAGGGCACAGACCTCACGCTTCATGGGCAAAGCTCAGTCGGGTCCTGGCATCGGAAGTCCAGGCTTCGGCAGCCCGCCTCTTTCCCAGGGAAGGTCAGAGTGGAAATTCACGGCTGGTGTGCGTGCGCATGGAGGGCTCTGGGGGCACACTCACAACCCCTGCGGCTGAACAGAAACTGGAAGCAGGGCTGTGTCTTCCTGCCGACTTGAGCTGGGCCCTGGCAGTCACGTCCCCTCTGGAGCAGAGGCAGACAGTCCTCTACTTTTTGGTACTAAACGGGAACCTCGCCACCTGGAAGCTTGACTTGACTTCATGCTTCTTCCAGGGTCTGCGAGGGTCCCCATCAGCTCGCTTTGGGCAGAGTCCAGCCCCTGCTTTCTTCAGGAGGTGACAAGGACCGGAGATGGGTGGTAGACGGTGCCACTGCAGGTCCGAGGAGGGCCAGCCCTTCCCAGGACGCCTCTCAGTGTAGGTGGTAGGTCCAAAAAGGAAACTGTGTAGACACTACAATGAGCTCTCTAGCCTTTTATTTTTAAGCCGTGTGTAGGTGTTCCTTCCCCTTGAAGCTGCTATATCTTCTTTATTTATTCAGGGTATTTTCATGTTGGAGAGCCTTGGCTAATCTGCTTTGGCTCTGGATTTTTTGAGATTGGTTTACTTCTGAATATTCAAGAAAGGAAAGGACTGGTTCTTTTTTTTCTTTTTTACTTTTCTTTGGGGTAGGTACTCTTCCCTTCCCTAGAAAGAAATATCATGATTTAAGGACAGGCTTCAAGTGGAAAAGCCCATTTCTGCACGTTTCTGCGTTTCTGAACTGTGGGAGCCTGTTTGGCTGGGACTGTGGGCTTAGTCCCCGTTACCAGCCGTGGGCTCTCCAATTGCCTCTTCTCTGCTTGCCAGCCACTCTGAGCAGGACTTCCCTCCTGGCGGGTTCTGCATTGGCCGCGCTCCGCACCCCTCTCCGGCTTCTAGCGTCAGGCTGTAGGGCGAGCTGCTTGAGAAGCCTCAGGCTGAGCAGGCAGCTGATGGTCGTGGTCGCCTAGACGTTAGAAAGCCAGTCTGACCTCGGTCTGTCCTTGAGATGCCCTGGCCTGCAGAATGACTGTCACAAAAGTATTGTTGCTAATGGTGTGGCAATGGGACTGAACTGTAATAAAAATGTTATTTAATCTTTGTCTCTGTATTTTGATACTTGAATGACTTCCCCTTTTATTTTACTGTACATATAATTGTTAATCTGTCCAACTTTGTCCGAATTACAAACATCTTGTGGTACCAAACATAACCACTCTGTGCGAAAACATAGACTGACCTCACTACATGAGAGTGTAAATATTCTTGGGCTTCCAGCTTTGGTTTTGTTATTTTCATAACTGTACAAGTTAGAACAGATTGAATTAATAAATGAGAAGCGACACAAAACCAGCCTTACTTTTTGGAGTCTTTGTATTTGGAATGTTTCTTGATGGCTCTCTGTGTGGGCCAGGCTAGACACCGGGTCAGCAGCGAGTCTCTTGCTCTTGGCCCGGGGTGAATCTGGGAATTCTACTCTGCTCAGCATTCTTCCACGGGAGGTCAGTTGTACTTAACCCTGGGTAGTTCAAGGGCGCTGCGGTTCCTCTTCCCCTCCCCCTCCTCAGGGATATCTAGTCTGAATACCAGGCAGAGGGACCACACTCTGACTATGGCTCCCCAGCCTCCTGATCTGGGCTGGTCCACCCATGGCCATTTAGTGCATGTGTGTACAAGGCAGCATGGAGGATTGAGAACTGTGGAAGAAAAGTGTCTCCATAAGGCACTTAGTTTCATTGTGGAGGTTTTTAGACATACGCAACTAGTACGAGCCTGGAGCCCTGCCGCAAGACCCACAAGACAGTCCCGGGGCTGTGGGACACAAAGGGACGGAGGGCAACCAGAGCTGGGTGGCAGGGAAGGCGGGGGTGGGGCGGGGGTGTCTGGGCTGGTATTTGGAAAGGGAATGTTTGGAAAGGCCTGAACAACACTAATAACCCTTCAGTGACTGCACACTCAGGCCTCAGACCTGCTAGCAGCTTTGCAGTCACCCTCATCAGCCCTCACATCTCTCCGGGTATGTGTTTTCATTCCTATTTATAGAGGGAAGCTGCAGGAACCTCAGAAACCTAGTCCAGTGGCTTCAAGCTGTCCTCAGAGCCACCGGTCCCCTGACTGCTTCAATTGCTTCAACTGCCTACCACTAAACACTTATTTATGAGTTTCTATAACATATGCCATTTGTTAAAGGGCTTTAAAACAGAAAATCACTGATTTAGTCTAACACCCAAGTATATTTGTGAAGAAAACAAGACCCAGGTCAGGGAAATTATGTTCTCTCAGCCAGCCAGCTAATGGCTGAGAGAGGACCAAAATCCAGGTGCTTCCTTCCAGACAGGGCTCCTTAGGTCCAGTGGCACTGAAATTGGGGCGGTAGACTGAGGCCCAGTGGCAGGCCCCCACACACTTGCTCCCTGCTGTCGGTACTCTCCCAGGCAGGAGACGCCTAGGAAAAGAAAGGTCTGATCATGGGTATCACTGTTCCTCCGGAACACTATTGGGACACTTTGCCACTATCATAATCCCTTTTGGTGTCACTCTGGAACCTTTGTCACACCCTTCCCAAGCTGGGCTGCAATGCTGATTGTGCCAGGGGGCCTGAAAGGGGGAGACACAGGCTAATTCACATGGGCGCCTGGGCCTGCTGTTCTGAGCCACACCTGACCAAGGGGGAACCGGGACTTGAACAGAAGGGACAGAGCAGGAGGATGGGGAGAAGGAAAGGTATGGGGCAGCCTCTAAGAAGGAATGGAGGGGCCCACTCAAAAAGGCAGCATCGGCGCACCCATCGTCACCTAGTAGCCTCTCCCCGTCCCTCTGACTCACCGCAGTCAGCGGGTCTACACACTGGGGCCCTCGGGACCTGGAGGTTGTCGGGAGGCCTTGCGTTGGCGTGCAGCGTGAGGCAGATCGACCCTCCCAAGACCTCGTCTGTGCCCCCCCTCTCCCCCGTCAGGGCCATGTTTGCCACATGCCCCCACATCCCCCAGTGCCCCCTTCACAGATGTCCTGTGGCTCAGGCACTGTGGCAGCTGGGGCGTTAGTCCTGTGGGCTGAGATAGAGCAACTCAGCAAGGACCGGGCTGCTGAGGAGGCAGAACTTTGCTAGCTTGGGGCACTTTCAAGGACAGCCCCAAACACCCCGTCAGCCCTGGCCAGCTCTGGCCCACCTGCACCTGAAGGGTGTCTCAAGCCCACCTGGCTCCCAGCAAACAGGGACAGGCAGTTTTCAGTGTGTCATGCAGTTCAAACTGCGGCCTACACAGCACCAGGTGCCATCAAGTAACGCCCGAAGAGTTCCGTGCTCTGAACACCCATTGCTCAGTGAAGCTTCTGCAACTCTGTGACTGCCGCTTTCGGTCTCAGGTGTTAGGAACACTGTTATAAATGAGCACTTAACAAACTAAAGGATTTCCCTAACACCCTAAAATATTCACTATCCAGTAAACGGTGCTGGGACCTCTAGGTAGCCACGGGGGTGGTGGGAACAGGGCGGGGAGACTCCCATTCCTACTTCACCAACATAAACCCCAGACGGCTCACATATTTGAATATATAAAGAAAGAAAGAAAGAAACCCGAACAAAGCTACAAGAAAGCAGACTTTTTTTTCTTTATGAACTTGATATCAGAAAGGTCCTCCCAAGCATGTTACAAAATTCGTAATCCTTTTTTTAAAGATCAATATATTAAACTATATAAAAAAACATTTTTGCATAACAAAATGCACCATTAAAATAATTGAAAATGTTTGTCCCACACGTCACAAAGGACAACTTGACAATTGCTATCAAAAGTAAACGGAGCTGCTACTTCCAAGAAGAAGAAGTAGAGGCATATTTTCCCCTGTTCTTCTCACTAAGTGCAATTAAAAACCCCTGGCAGAAACGGCAGTGGGCAGAGAACAAAGCCCAAACAAAAGCCTGCTCTGTGCAGGCGAAGAGCAAAACGGGGCAGCCTGGCCGGGCAGAAAGCAAGCTTTCAAGGCACCGGTGACGAACTCTCGCCATTGCCGGCAGTAGCAAGGCTGTGCCTGAAGGATACAATAACCCAAGTTCAATCTTGGTGGATGTGCTCGACAGAAGAATGGGAGAGAGACAGAACCCGCAAACTGGAACCTAGAACAATAGAAATTTCCTAATCTGAACAACAGAGAAAATAGATTGAAAAAAATGAAGAGTCTCAGGGACCTACTGCACAGTAACAAAACATCAAACATTTTTTTGTCAGCAGAGTCCCAGCAGGAGAGAAGGGGTTGGGGCTGAGAAAGTGCTCCACAAAATAATAGCTGAAAATTCCCCATATTTGGCAAGATGTAAACCTACAGATTCAAAAAGTGGAGCACACTCAAACCAGATAGACCCAAGAGAAACCCATGCCAAGATACGTCGTCATTAAATTTCTGAAAATGGAAGACAAAAAAATATAGTGAAAGCAGTGAGAGAAAAATGACACCTTACCTACAGGGGTACGCGGTTTGAATGACAGTGGCTTTCTCAGCAGAACTGGGGAGGCCAGAAGGATGTGGTACAATATTTTTCAGGTGCTGAAAGAAAAGAACTGGGAACCGAGAATTCTATACCCTGTGGATATGTTCTTCAGGAACAAAAAGGGATCAAGACATTCTCAGATGAAGGAAAACTAACATTATATTCATCGATGAAGGACAATGGACAGATTCCTTTATCACCAATCTTAAAGTGCCGAGAGTTCTAACCAGGGCAATATGGCAAGAAAAGGACATAAAAGTCATTCATATTGGAGAGCAAGAACTAAAACTGTCCCTGTTTGCAGATTACAATAGTTCTCCCTTATCCATGGGGAATATGTTCCAAGCCCCCAACAGATTTCTGAAACCTCAGATAGTACCAAATTTTATATATACTATATTTTTTCCTATGCATTCATACGCTTTCAAGCAGGGGTGTCCAAACTTTTGGCATCTCTGGGCCACACTGAATGAAGAAGAGTTGTCCTGTACCCCACATCAAATACACTGGGACACGTAATCACAAAAAAGAAGATTCATAATGTCTTAAGTAAATTTATGATTTTGTGTTGGGCCACATTCATAGCCATCCTGGGCCACGTGCGACCCCGCAGGCTGTGGGTTGGACACCCCTGCTACAGCTTCTCTTTAGCATATTTAAATTGTCACTACTCTTGCCCTTTGGGGCCATTAGTAAGTAAAATAAGGGTGACTAGAACCCCAGCACTGTGATACCACAAGAGTCAACCTAATAATCCAGACGAAGCGACTGACGGGCGGGCGGCACACAGGGCATGGGTACGCGGGCAGAGGGGTGAGCCACATCCCGGGCGGGACGGAGCGGGACGGCGCGAGATTTCATCATGCTACTCAGAACGATGTGCAGTTTCAAACTGAAGAATTATTTCTTGAATTTTCCATTTAAGATCTTCAGACAATGGTTGACCATGGGTAACCACAACCACGGAAAGTGAAACCGGCGATAAGAGGGGACTACTGTACATGGTTGCCTCTGCAGAAAATTCCAAAGAATCTACAAAAAAAAATTACTAGAATCAATGAGTTAAGCAAGCTTGCAAGATACAAGATAAACCTAAAAATTAATTGTATTTTTGTATATTAGAAATGGGCATGTGGAAACAATTACAAATAAAACACTATAATCACTTGAAAAAATAAAATCCTTAAGAGTAAATCTAACCACACATATTAAGAACTTGTAGGATAAAAACTACACAATGCTAATGAAAGAACTCAAAGCTCTAAATAAGTGAAGAGACAGACCATGTTCAAGAATTGGAATATTCAACATAGTAAAGATGTCAGCTCTTCCAAAATTGATACACAGGTTTAACATAATACTATCAAAATCCCAGCAAGGTTTTTTTTGTAGTTATAGATGAGATTAGTGTAGGGAAGACAAAGGAACTAGAATAGCTAAAACAACATTGAAAAAGAAGAAAGTCAGAGGACTTAGTCTTCCCAATCCCAAGACTTAATATACATTCCAGCCAAGATGGAAGCTTAGGTAGATATACTTTGCCTCCTTGCACAACCAAAAGAAGGACAACAAATTTAAAAACAAAAAACAACCACAACTGCCAGAAAATTGAATTGTATGCAAGTCCAACAACCAGGGAGTTAAAAAAGAAACATTCATCCAGATTAGTAGGAGGGGCGGAGACAGGCAGCTGGGGCAGAGAGGATACGTGGCAAGGTGGCAACTGGAGGACCCTGGGCAAGGTGGCGGCTGGCAGTCCCACATTTGCATGTGGATAAACCAGGAGGAACAACTAGAGAGCAAGGCAGACCATGCAACCCAGGGTTCCAGCGCAGGAAAAGAAAACCTCAAGACTCTGGGGGAGGTTAAGAATAGTATAGGAAATGGACAAGCCAAAGAACTTATATGAACAACCCATGGACATGAACTAAAGGGTAGGGGGATCCTGGTGGGAGGGGGATACAGGGCGAAGGAGGATAAAGGAGAGGAAAAAATGGGACAACTGTAATAGCATAATCAATAAAATACACTTAAAAGTCTTACTATACAGCTACAGCAATCAATACTGTGTGGTATGGCAGAGAGACTGAGAGATGAATGGGACAGAAGAGACAACCCAGAAAGAGACTCAAATGTCTGACTGATTTTTAACAAAGGCACAAAAGCAATTTAATGGAGGAGAGAGACTTTTCAACAAATGATGCCAGAGTAGTTAGATATCTATAGGCTTAAAGGAAAAAGTAGGTCTCCACCTTATATAAAAATTAATTGAGCCTTGACTGGTGTGGATCAGTGGATTGAGAGCCAGCCTGCGAACTGAAAGGTTGCTGGTTCAATTCCCAGTTGAGGCGCATGCCTGGGCTGCAGGCCAGGTCCCCAGTTGGGGTGAGCAAGAGGCAACCAATCAATGTATCTTGCACATTGCTGTTTCCCTCGCTTTTTCCCTCCCTTCCCTGCTCTCTAAAAGTAAATAAGTAAACTCTTTTAAAAAATTAATTTGAAATAGATCAGACTTAAATGTAAAACGTAAAACATAAAGCTATAAAACATTTAGCAAAAAATTTAGGAGAAAATCTTTGGGATCTAGGCCTAAGCAAAGAGTTAGACTCGATACCCCAAGCACAATCCATAAAAATAAAACCTGAAAACTTGGACTTCAAAATTAAATTTTTTGTGCATCAAAAGACACTATCAAGGAAGTGAACTGAGCAGCCATGAGGAACAGGAGGAAGTGTTTGCAAAGCATGTATCTGACAAGGGTCTAATATCCAGAATATATAAAGAACTCTTGCAACTCAATGACAAAAAATCCAATTCAAAAAAATATGAAACGCTAAAATAGACATTTCGCCAAGAAAGATAAACCAATGCGTAATAAGCACATGAAAAGATGCTCAATATCACTAGTCATTAGAGAAATGCAAGTCATAGCCACAATGAGATTCCACATTATACCACTAAGATGCCTACAATTTTTTTAAAAAAGGAAATTGTGTTGGTGAAAATGTGGAGAAATTGGAACCCTCATACATGGCTGGGGGGAACGTAAAAGTCGCAGCCACTGTGGGAAACAGTTTTAGTGGTTTCTCAATAAATTAAACATAGAATTACTATATGACCCACCAATTCTACTCCTGAATATATTCTCTACTCAAAAGCATTGAAAACAAACATTCAAACAAAAACTTGTTCACAAATATTCACAGCAACACTATTCACAAGAGCCAAAAGGTGAAAACAAGCCAAATGTCCATCAGCTGATGAAGGGATAAACAAAGTGTGGTAGATCCATATAATGGAATACTATTTGGCCATCAAAGGAATGAACTACTGATACATGGTACATGATAAATCTTTAAAACATACTAAATGAGAGGAGCCAGTAACAAAAGACCTCACCTTATATGATTCTCTTTAGCGTCAGAAAACCCATTGAAACAGGAAGCAGATCGGCGGTTGTGGGGGGCTGTGGAGAGGGAGGAATGAGAAGTGACTGCTTAGTGGGCGCGGCTCCACTGCTGTGGTGAGGAACGTGTTCTGGAACCAGATGTTGGCGGTAGCTGTACAACATTGTACCCCTTGTCACTAAGGTAAATTTCATGTGTATGTACCACAAAATTAAATTTATATCCCTCCAACCATGTGCAGGATTGAATGGAGCTCTTTCCTTGTTTAGGTCAGGATCCCTGTCTCCTCTGTGTGGAAGCACAAGAAAATAATGAACATCTGAGAAATGGATCATTTCAGAGTTTAATCATCAAGTACAAAGTGAGGTTCTATTGTCAGCCAGCGTCCGCACCCAGCCACCAGGCAGCCCTCGTCACGGAATCCCTTCAGAGCCCATCTGCCTCTAGGATAATGAAGCCTCCAAAATGTGGGTTGTTTAAACATTCCAATTGACTGTTGCAAATCAGAGACTCCGTCTAGGCAGGCCTCACTGTTTATTAAACAGACTCCTTTTCCTGGGCTTCCCCATCCTGAGGGCGTGCGGCTACAGGACTGGACACTGGGAATGAGGTCGGAGTCACCGTGTGTGCCTGGCGGTGCCAGCTGCCTGTCTGGGCTCTCCGCAAAGGCAGTCAACTAGGGAAGCCCTGGGCTAACTGGCCTCAGTCACCTTCAGTCCTTCCTACACGGAGTGTGTTATAACCAGCTCCCTCTATCTCCTGAAATGGCGAGAATCTCGTTCCTCTTCACCCTACCTTGAGAGCACATCCATGAATTTCATTTTCTCTTGTGCATCACAAAAAAAGTGGGGGCCAGATCAGAACGGGGCAGTGTCCTCATTTCAGCCATACTGGGTTGGGCTGGGCTGCCGCGGTCGCCCTGAGGGGATGGTTGGATCTCTACCAGTCCATGTCCTTTCAGAACATCTCCCACCTGCGATGCCGACAGGAGCTCAGAGCCTACCCCGCCAGGCCGGGCCCCGGCGGTGGGAGGACAGAAGCTGCCCACCTCTGCATGCCCGCAGCACCCGTCGGGAAGGGTTCTACCCTCCGATGCGGGGGGCGGGGCCTCACCCGGTAGAGAACAAGACCAAGGAGAACCTTGCTCCAAGTGAGTCACTGGCTTAACTGTCCAAGCCTGAACGCTGGTACCTGAGAGAGAAACCCCATGAGCAATGACACCCGTCACCAGCACGCTTGCCGAGGCCAACACCCACTTCCCCCACCCCTGCACCCTCCTTCCCCCAGAAGACAAAGCTGGAGTTCTTGTTAGTTACTGACTTCTTGTCACACCACTTGAAACCTTCAGGAAATTAGGTCCTTTCAACCAGGCCCAGGTCCTGAACTGAACTGGACAAATTTCTAACTTCTAGAGAAGCCCTTATACTCACATTTTGATAATTCCACAGAGCCATCAGAAAAATGTTTACCCTTAAACAAAATAATGTTGGTGCCTGGGTGCCCTGGCTTCCCGGCTCTGTGTGCAGAGGGAGCGCATCACCAGTGGAGCAAAAACGGGGGCCTGCTGGCTTCGTAGCTAGTTGGGGGCAGAGGGCGCGGGTCTGGCCACAGGTCTGGCCACGGTTGCAGCACAAGAAGAGTGGTTTGCTAGCTTTCGGAAGTTTATTAGAGAGTGAGTTTGGGCCAGATGGTGTTTACACGCTTAGCCTCTACAGCGCTGGTACTGGCTGCAGGAGGAGAGGGAGGTTTGAGATTTGCTGGTCACTGGTGAAGTCACCCCAGGAAAATGATGGGCTTCTCTCCGATGTCCAAGGTACCGGGACTTGGAGCTGGGGCTCTCAGGGAGACTCCACTTCTGCTTCCAGAGCCTGGCTTGAGGGGGTGAGGGTTTTCAGGATCTCCGTGTAGTAAGGGCCAAACACCTGCTGGTTGTGGTGTGTTAGGCTGACAAACTTTTGGCCCAGTTCTGCCAGCTCTGCCTCAATGAGAGTAAGGCCTCCAGGGAGGCCTAGCAGAGAGCGTTGCACACCAAGAACCAAACAGCATTTGAGAAACAGGTGGATTCTCTGATCTGCAAGCAGGAAGAGACAGTGAGGAGGGAAAGAGCAGATGCCTTTCAGGGAGAAACACTGCCCTGCACCCGCCCAGGTTCTGAGTTAACTGAGATGCTCACTAACCTACTCACTTAGCTAGACATGAGGAACTTTGTTTCATTTTTTGGGGAAGGGGGCTGCTCTCTAGCTCCTAAGAACAAAGCAAAGATTGAAAACTAGTGGGCTAGTAAATTTTTGACTATTCAAAAGATTACTTCAGTATCCGTCAGTTAGATCCTACTGAGTATTTGATATGACAGGAAGATCTTAAACTGATCCTTTGGAAGGCTGAGGTGAAGAGCAAGGCCAAGGTCACAGCCTCCATTTCAGCACAGGACGGTGCGGGGAATCGTTGCCATGTGAACATGTCCTCCAGTATAACTCAGCATCAGTTTCTTGTTGGCAGCATGTAAATGTCACATGTCACAGACTGCAATCAGAAAGCTGGGGATGACTCAGAGAGGTTGGTTGGACAGTGTGCCACACCTAGATGTCAGGGACTTCTGGGTGCAAATCTTCCTCAGAACCAGAGAGTCATTCTTTAAACTAAGAGATATATTTCAACCCAGCATATTGAAAAACTAAAGCCTACACAGTGACTTGCCCAATGACCATACCTGCTATAGCTAAGTGGTTCGGTAACTGCCTTGCAGGGTTGGAATCCACCTCTCTCACATGGTGTCCTCCTCCCCCCACCCTCAGTGTACACTCACCGATGACATTGCGGACACAGTTCTCTTTGTGGGCAATGTCCTGGAGCTGTCCCATCAAAGATGCTGTGTTGTCACTGCTCAGAGCAGCAAGGCCCATGTTCTTGAGGCTTTGATGGATTTCCTGAGACACCTGTTCACTCACAGTCAGCATGGCCTCCTCAGGCCTAGACCATGAAGGAGAGTAAGCTGGTAGCACCAGGTGGCCCTGGCACTGGCCCAGAGCCTGGGAAGCTCCACGCCTGACACGGGGCCCACGTGAGGGAGACACCCAGCCCCTGGGAGCCGCAGAGCCCAATGGGCAGACTCAGTGTCTTCACGTTCACCTCAAGATATCGACTGCTCTCTACATACAACACCATGTACTACTTCTTAGTAAACAAGATAAATTGACATCAACTCCAGACGCGCATTCGGCTCTGCCCTTGGATCAACTCAATATTCTTTAGCCCCATGGAATTTATTTACATGTGTGTATCTCTATACATGTTTAAGACTTTCTTGGACATTTTCCATGGCCATTTGTCCCACTCTCACCAACGAGAGTGACAAACCCGGCCTTCTGATTCTACTGGTGCGATGCCTTGCGACACAGCGGACATTCATGCCCTCAGCCCCCAGTCTGTACACGCAAGGCCAGCCCATCGCCGTCCGCTCAGCCACACAATGGTTCCATTGTAGCAACAAGATAAGTCATTTTGCAGCAAGCTAGCCTCCGCACTACTCTTTTGGAAGAAAATATTATTTTTCTTTGTCATAAGCCTCAAGACCACTTATAGAAAGACACCAATAATCTTTGTGGATGGTTCCAAAGGGCCTTTCGGTGGCCTATGGTGGAACATAAGCAATTATTCCTTATCTGCCTATCCTCTTACCACATGTCATCTCTAAAGAAAAAGAATACGCAGCTCACCTGGAATTAAATTCCTCCATGAAGGCTTTGATTCTGCGTTTCAGCTTATCCACAAACTGAGGGGAGCCAAACAGAACACTGGCAGAGAAACTACTGGTGACCAGCAAGACTGAGGCCAGAATGGTCAGGTGGAGCAGCTGGGACTGCAGCTCCTGCAGCCGGGCTCTGTCCGCCAGCAGCGTCTAAGGACACCAAGGGGACAGGTGGTCAGAGAGCAGGATCCTGCGGAGGACAGACCTCGTACAAGCCCTCAGGAAGTGCCCCACACAGGCCTACCTCAGGGAACTCTTCATCGTCAGGGTCCCAGAGAAGAAGGTTCAGGAAACCCTGGGACAGCACCATTGTGGGGCTGAGGGGCTCGGGGCTGCAGGCTGCCTCATTCGGAGAGGGGCAGGCCACGCCGCAGGGGTCAGGAGCTTCGGGGCAAGCTGGAGGCAGCGTGGTGAGGTCTGCTGCCGCGCGGGTCAGCCACCTGGTGGTGTGGTCGAGGAGGCCTGGCACAGGGCAGAGTGAGGGAGCAGCTTCAGCGCCTGCACCCCTGACACTTGGGGACTAAGGCACTTTCCGAAATATACTCCTGGTCCATAAACACATGCTTATGGGAATGAGGGTGTCTTTTTATTTTAGATAACTGTTCCTTCTCCCTCCCCCTACTGAGGAAGAAACTTTCTGTTCCTACAAGGAGGCAGAGTATGCTCTATCATTACAAATGTCAGGCCCAAGGTCATATCTTCCCACGCCTGCCCTCAAGTTATATACATACTCGGCTGCTTGTTGAGGAGTTCCTGGAATTTAGCCCGTTCATACTGAATGGAATGTTCCTGCCGGTGGGGTTGAAGGCTTTGGATGGTATAGTTCATCCTGTCCCTTTTCATCAGCCCCAGGACCTGGAAGATCCCTCTGACACGGAGAAAACAAAACATTGATTCTCTGAAAGGGGATCCACTGAGAGGGCTCCCCCAGCAGGAACCACTGAATCACTGCATTGGAGAATTAGAGGATCAAGACGGCGGCCTAGGTAACACGGCTCACCTCCTTGCACAACCATGTCAAAATTACAACAAAACTATAGACAACCATCACTCAGAATCATCAGAAATCAAGCTGAATGGAAGTCTGACAACTACAGAATTAAAGAAACCACATCCATCCAGACTGGTAGAAGGGGCTGGACCCACATCCACGTCTGGTGGATAAAAATTTAGGAGGGATATCTTGGGAGCAAGGAATCCCAGTCCCACTGCAGGCCTCCCAGCCCAGGGTTCCAGTGCCAGGAAGGTAAGTCCCCAACTGCAGGAGTCCAAAGCAGTTCCTCTTAAAGAACCTACTCACAGACTTGCTCAGACTCACTCCCTCTGAGCTCCAGCACCAGGGTAGCAGCTTAAAAGGCACCGGTGGCATACGGGGAGAAGTGAAGTGCCTGGCATCAAGGTGAGAGCTTGGGCAGAGCTTTCTCCCAGGCAGAAAGGCAGGCAGAGGCCATTGTCCCATTTCTGAACCCTCCCCCTACTGAGCCACAGAGCTGGCAGGCAGAGCTGCCATATCTGAGCTGCTGTATCTGAGACTCCATCAACTTGGCTAACACAGTTTGCCCTGCCCTGGAGATGCCCTGGGCTCCATCCTACCCAACTTACGGATGTTAACGGTGGCTTTTCCATGGGTGGCTGGTGTTGGCTCATGCTTCACAAGCTCCTAAATCCTTTTAAACAAACAACAGCTGGCCTCAGGGAGCCCCCAGCCCCCATACCCTTGCTAAGTGGCCGCAGGCCCAGCCCGAGGAGCAGCAGCCAGCCTAGACTCACAGCATGGCTCACCTGGGAATCTCCAAGCCCAGCACAAGTAGCGGCCATCTCAGATTGCTTTATATCTCAGGCAGGGAGGCCTCAGGCTAAATGCGGGTTGGGGCTGGCTGACCTTGGCCTGCACCACCTGGGAAACCTCAGGACCAGCGCACCCAGTGGACAGCTACAGACCATGCTGGAGCACCACCACCCTGCCCCTGCACAGCTGATCATCCATGGAGGGTGGAGGTTGGTAATCAGTTCTCACAGCCAGTCCTGGCAGCTGACTGGCCCGGGTAAATTCCTCCCATTGATCTGCCAACAGCAACCAAGCCTCAACTACAAGAGGAGGGTGTACTCAGCCCACACAAAGGGCTCACCTCAAGTACCCAGCTTGGGTGAGAGGGGAGGCTGTGCCACTGGACCCTACAGGACACTTGCTACATTGGGCCATGCTACCAAGACAGAGTCAAAGCAGCTCTACCTAATACATAGAAACAAACACAGGGAGGCTGTCAAATTGAGGAGACAAAGAAACATGGCCCAAATGAAAGAACAGATCAGAACTCCAGAAAAAGAACTAAGGAAAATGGAGATAAGCAATCTATCAGATGCAGAGTTCAAAACACTGGTTATACAGATGCTCAAGGAAGTCATAGAGGACCTCAGCAGCATAAAAAAGACCCCGTCAGAAATGAAGGATATAGTAATTGAAATAAAGCACAATCTACAGGGAAACAATAGTAGAGTGAATGAAAGCCAAGAATCAGATCAATGATTTGGAACATAAGGAAGCAAAAAAACCACCAATCAGAACAACTGGAAGAAGAAAGAATTCAAAAAAACAAGAATAGTGTAAGCAGCCTCTGGGATAACTTAAACATTCCAACTTTTGCATCATAGGGGTGCCAGAAGAAGAGAAAGGGTAAGAAATTGGAAATCTATTTGAAAAAATAATAAAAAACTTTCTTAATTTGGTGAAGGAAATAGACATGCAAGTCCAGGAAGCACAGAGAGTCCCAAGTATGATGCAAAAAGGCCCACTCCAAGACACGTCATAATTAAAATGCCAAAGGTTAGAGATAAAGAGAGAACCTTAAAAGCAGGAAGCGAAAAGTTAATTACTTACAGGAGATTTCCCATAAGACTGTCAGCTGATTCCTCAAAAGAAGCTTTGTAGGCTAGAAGGGATTGACAAGAAATATTCAAAGTCATGAAAAGCAGGGACCTACAGCCAAGACTGCTCTACCAGCAAAGCTATGATTTAGAATCAAAGGGCAGATAAAGAGCTTCCCACACAAGAAAGAAAAGAAGTTCATCATCACCAAACCATTTTTATAGGAAATGTTAAAGGGATTTATCTAAGAAAAAGAAGATCAAAACTATGAACAATAAAATGGCAAAAAATACATATCTATCAACAATTGAATCTAAAAAACTAAGCAAACAAGAACAGAGACAGAATCATAGATAAGGGGAGAATTTTGATGGCTACCAAATGGGAAGTGGGTGTGGGGGAGAATAGGTGAAGAGGTGAAGGGATTAAGAAGTACAAAAGGACAGTTACAGAACACCCTCGAGGGTGTAAAGTACAGCATAGGAAATGGAGTAGCCACAGAACTTACACACATGACCCATGGACATGAACAATGGCGTTGGGATTGTCTGAGGGAGTGGGGGGTGCTGGGTGGAGGGGGGAAACGGAGGAAACATTGGGACAACTGTAATAACATAATCAATAAAATATAATAAAAAAAAAAGAATTAGAGGGGCTTTAAAACTCATTTCTAAATTCTGCCTCCTAAACTACAAAAGATGACATGTGACCCAGGACCTGAGGCCCACGGTGAGAGAACAGCCGAGCCGAGCGGGAGCGCCCCTCAGGTCTCTGGACCCTGAAGCCTTTGAGTCCAATCTCTTTCCACAACAGGTTGTTGTCTTGTAAAAAGGGAGTCGGTGGAAGAACACACACCAGCACACTAACCGTTGTCTCTGGGAAGTGGGATTATAGGGGATGCTATTTCTAATGCTATTTCTGGGCCAATCACTTTTTTTTTTAACCTTTTGGACCTGGATCTTAGTTTCTATAGCTATGAAATAGGGAAAGCCCCTGCCCCTTCATGTTATGTGAACTGCGACAGGAAACTGGGGAAAGCAATATTTGAACTACTTGAAAGAAAAGGTTACGCTCATGTTTTACGGTAGGACATTATGCAGAGGTCCGGTCCATCTAAGGAAAACCAGAGGGCCCCTCAAGGCCATCTTTGGAAAAGAAAAGCTAACAGGCCAGAGAGAGTTAGTCAGGTCTCAGCAGGGACGAGCTGGCCAAGACAGGGGCTGCCCTCAGTGTCAGGCCCACAGGAGGCGGCAGGTCCCGGGAGACAGTAGTCAGGTTTCACACCTCAGTAGCTGAGCAGAGTCTGTAATGTTGTCTAGTTTCTGCACGGCTTCATCTCGAACTGGAGCACACAGCAAAGTCATCATGCTGAGAATGTGCTTGGAGAGATGAAGGACGTTCAGGGCCCCATGTTCTGCTTCCTGCTTGAGGAGGTCCGTGTTCAGAGATTCTTCAATCTCACTTCTCAGGCGGTTCTGGCGAGGTAACAGCAGCGATAGCAAGATCTGCCCAGGAAACAAAGTCAAAGAAGGGGCTAATAGGACAAAAGCCCCATTTTCAGTCCCTGTTTGCCAGAACTAGCTGCACCCCATAAAGCGTGACTGACTCTTGTTTTATGAACCTCTGTGTTCAGGACTAGAAAATTACTAGAAATGTTCTGAAGGCGCAGAGGCTCTGGGAACTTATGACACAGGACATGCCAGACCACAACGACTGTGCACCCGAAGGTAACATCGAAACAAGCTGCAGCCTATACATGACCCCCGACACATCCTCTACAACCACCCCAATCACCTAATAAAAAAGCTGAAAGCCCCCACCCCTCACGGCTAGTGTATTTCTCTGCACCAGGCGCCTGACCCCTCTTGGAGTAAAAATCTTTACTCTCTGCACTTTTTTTTGTGAATTCTTTCACAGCCCACGTCACGGACCACCCTAATAGGGGCTACACTCTGTTAAGAGCCCCAAACTTTCCCTAATGGAAACCTCTTTAGTCAAACACATCCCAGCCCATGTCTTAAAGATCAAGGCATTGGATCTCTAAATTTCCTAGAGGGTACTAATTTATCTTTGTTAAGGGACCAATAATAGATCAAGGCTTTAAGGAATCAAATACGGCAATAATATGTATCTATTAAATATTAAATATAATAATATTTAGGCAGAATGAGATAAAGAGATAAACAAAATTAAGGAGTGTGGTAAAAAGAAACTCAAGATGCAACAAATAAAAAATACACGCCACCGCGTGGTGATGAGGTACTCTTCATTTTAGAAAGGCAGGCATTTTTGAGATTCACTTCAAAGAGCAAGGAGAAAAAAGGCGCTCTTCTTCATCTCTGTGCCTCTGTAACATACAGAACAGAGCAGGGTCGAGGGATGGGGTTAAATGAACATTTGTTTAGTTGAATGGGCTATTGTGTTGTCATAGCAAGATCCCACCCGTTTAGCTTCATCTTAAGCAAATAAAGTGCAAGTTGCTCCATACAATCTATTTAAATGGTAAAGTTTGCCAATTTTCACTTCAGAGCCTCTCAGTTCCAAGTTTGCCCTTCCGTGCCTCCCTGTGAAAGTGCAGCTGGCTGGCACTGTGTTAGTTTTGTCAGTAGAGGGCGCTAAAGAGAGGCTGCAAGAGGAGGAGGTCCTCCCCACCCCACACCCCCTTTCCGCTGTGCTTCCCCTGTGCAAGCCCCTGGGGCACACAGCTGCTCTTTGGTCAAATTACTGGCCGGTTTCTTCATCCTGATTGGACCCTGGCTGATACAAAATTGGTATCACGAGTGATATTAGAACTCAAATGCCCTATGTCCATTGTATCTGATGAGCAGCAAGTAGCAAGTACTTCATATTTTAGATGCCTTAGGAAGACGTGCAAACTGGAGGACGGCGGATAATCCCCACAAAAATTCAGCTGCCCATCACTTCAGCGAAGTTGGTAGAGCTTCAGTGGTCTGGACTTGGTCAAAGCCGTGCCCTCCAAGGTGAATGACAAGTCGCTGTACCTCAGACTACCCACCACGAAAAAAGAGGCACAGCATGTGTAGGTCTTTTTGGGTTTTCAAGGCAACATGCACCACCATTAGAGTTTCGTGGACAAAAATGGGCTCTCTAGTCAATCTGATAAGAGTGATCATAAATTCTTAGCTGGGCAGGTCACAGTGGTAGTCACCTCCAGGCACATAACTTCTTTAGTAAAAGGTTTATCTTTGCCTTAAGCAAGTCCTGTTCATTGTTCTTGAGTATCTAGGTTAACACACCTTTGAAATGCCACAGTAATCCTCTTTTTCAGGCCCCTCAAGGGAGCACATGATTTTTTTTTTTTAATTGATTTTTTTAGAGAGAGAGAAAGGTGGGGGAAGAAAGAGAGACAGACAGACAGACAGGTATCAGTTTGTTGCTCCAGTTATTCATACGCTCATTGGTTGATTCTTGTATGTGCCCTGACCAGGACTGAACCTGTAACCTTAGTGTCTGGGGACAACACTAACCAAATAGGCCACCTGGCCAGAGTGAGCACATGATCTTGGTAACTAGAATCTTCTTTATATTCCCTCCTTAGTTTCAAATGTATAAAAGAAACTGCAAAACTGTCCTTCTCTGGAGCATTTGAGATCTTGCTTCCTGGAATGTCATCGGTTCAGCTCAAATAAACTCAGGCTCATAAAAAATTCTCTACAATTTTGGACATTCTAATGTGACACCCATTTAGACTTGCTCATAGGTTGCCAATTTCAAGTGGGAACCAGAGCCAGAGCAGGCTCTACAGCAAGTTCCGGCTGCCACACAAGCCACTGTACCATTTGGGCCTTATGGTCCTGCAGGTTCATGATACTTGAAGTGTCCATGGCAAGAAATTACACTCAGAGCCTCTGGCAAGCACCAATAGAAGCGGCACAGCACAGAGTTCTAGGATTTGGGAGCAAATCTATGCCCTCTTCTGCAGATAACTATTTGCTTTTTGAGAAACAATTCCTGGCTTGCTTCTAGGCCTTAGAAGAAAGTTACACTTTAACAAAGGACATCAGGTGACCATGTGGCCTGAGCTTCCCAAGAGGAACAAGGTGTTTTCTGACCTACCCAGCCGAAAGATCAGATGATTCAGGAATTCAGATGTGTGTAGAAGTGTCCATATGGAAGCTGAGTAGCCAAAGGAGTGAAAGGTTATATTTATCAATTTACTGTCTCTCAGGTCCAAATCCATTCTTATTTTCTCTGCTCTGAAAAAAATGAAGTCCTTTAAGTATTTTTCCTTTACCAAATGGTGAATTTTAAGCTTCATCTGTATAGGTCACTATTAACTAGTTTTTGTGTAGCATAACAAATTACCATAAACTTAAAGGCTTAAGAAAGCATATACATTTGTTATCTCACAGCTTCTGTGGGTCAGGAATCCAGGCAGAGATGAACTGGGTCCTTTGCTCAGCGTCTCCCAGGCTGTGATAAGGTGTCGCCAGGCTGCATTCTCATTTGGGAGCTTCACTGGAGAAGGATCTGTTACCAATCTCCTTCAAATTGTTGGCTGAACTCATTTCTTTACAGCTGCGTACTTAAGGGGTCCAACTTCTTACTGGCTATTGGTCCTAGAGGCCACCTGCATTTTCTGGCCATGTGGCCCTCTCCATAGGCAGTTGACAATTTACCTGTTTGCTTCTTCAAGGCCAGCAGGAGAATCTCCAGTCTCCTACGACAGAGTCTTACATAATGAAATGTGACATCCCAACACGTTCGCCGTATTCTATTGGTTAGAGACAAGTTCTAGATCTCAGACAAACTGAAGGAGAGAAGATTATCTAAGGACATGGGCTGGGGGTGGGGCAGTCACCTTAGGGAGAGCCCACGCATACTAGAAAGACATTGCAAAAGCCAAGAGCCTTTCTCTCTGGTTCTAGAATGTTCACTCGCCAGGCTCCTGCAGGATGCATGGCTTTGACAGCAACCGGCTCCTACGGCCTGAGTGGGGTCTCCCAGGGCTGGGCTCCTGCAGGGCACAATGGTCAGCGGCACACACAGACCCGCAGCTTCCCCGCACAGCTGTGCCCTCTCAAATCCTCCAAACAGAACCCTATGTCAGCCTAGAGGTATGGGGGATTCTCCTTATAGCTGCTATTCAGGTATTCTTCAAGAGTTCTCTTTGCTTCTTACTAGCCCAGAGCTGTCATTTCTCCAATTCCCTGTTATAACAATTTTTATATTTAAACTTCCTTGTTGGCCCTGACTGGTGCGGCTCAGTGGGCTGGGTGCAGTCCCACAAACCGAAAGGTCGCCGGGTCAATTCCCCATAAGGGCACATGCCTGGGTTGCGGGCCAGGCCTCCAGCTGGGGTATGTGAGAGGCAACCAATCGATGTTTCTCTCTCACATCAATGTTTTCCCTCCCTTCCCCTCTCTCTGAAAACAAATAAATAAATACAATATTTTTAAAAAATTCCGTGTTGAAACTGCTGTGTGATTTCTGTCTACAGATTAGATTCTGACTGATTCATGGACCATGCTCAGTTAGAGTTTGCTACCCACTCACTCAAATGAGCCGGGAATGTCTAGGAACCTTATACCTCTACATGGAAGGTTGGTCACTCACCTCTTTAATTTCTTTCAAAAGTTCAAGAGCACAACTGTAGTCGGGGGGAGTAGCTGACAACTGCTCTTTAAGATGATCCCAAAAGGCATTATGCATTGTTTCCTTGATTTTGCCTTCCACACTGTAAGAGAGTTAAATAGACAAATCACTTTCTGTATCCAAAAACTACCATTAGGTCATTATGTCCTAAGCCTACACGAACAGTAGGCTTATGGTAGGCTTTTATCATTTGATATGATAAAAGACCATTATACAGACAGGGAAAGGCCAAGAACTATGTTTGGACTGCACCAGAGTTGAGCAAGCTGGGGTTAGTTAGACTTGGACGCTAAGAGCATCAAAAACCTCTCAGAAGGGCTCCTCGTAGTCCCAGAACAGCCCTCCCTCTGCAACAGAAAGAGCCCTGAACAGAGGTCATGTTGAGCTTTAGCACTGACTTTGCACCTAGCCAAGCTAATACGTGACTTAGGTCCTATTTGGGCATACATATAGCAATGAACTAAATGATCTTTCAGCTTCTTCTGGTCCTAAAAATCTAGGGAAAGATTCTCCTTCTTTGATAACCCTAAATACCCACAGATACTTCCTTCTTTGATAAACCTAACTCCAAATAGGCAGATCTAAACTGAACTCACTATCTTCTTCCTTCAGACTTGTTCCTCCTACATTCCCAGTCTCAGTGGCATTACCATGTAGCCAGTTGTGGAAGCCAGAAAGATTGGCCTTTTTTTTTCCCCTTAAGAAAAAAATAGAAGCAAAGGCAATTCAGTTTAGAAACGACAGTCTTTTCATCAAATGGTGCTAGAGCAACTGGACATCCACATGCAAAAATATAAATCTAGACAGAGACCTTCCACCTTCCACAAATGGATCATAGACCTAAATGGAAAATGGAAAATTATAAGACTCCTAGAAGAAAACTGGGAGAAACTCAAGGCGACCTTGGGCTTTGCAATGACTTTTAGAGGGAACACCAAAAGGGAGATCCAAGAAAGAAAATATTGGTAAGTTGCACTTCCTTAAAATTAAAAATGTCTGCTTTGTGAGAGACACTGTTAAGAGAATTAAAAGACAAGCCACAGACAACCTGTCCTAAAAACACACCTAATAAGGGACTGTTATCCAAATTACACAAAGAACTCTTAAAACTCAACAATAGGAAAACAAACAACCCAATTTTAAAATGGGAAAAGATCTGACAGACACCTCACCAGAGAAGATATACAGATGGCAAATAAGCATATGAAAAAATGTTCAACAACATGTCATTAGGGAAATGCAAATTAAAATAAAGATGAGATACCAGTACACACCTATCAGAAAGTGCAAAATCCACAACACTGACAACACCAAATGCTAGGCAGGATGTGGAGCAATGGGAACTCTCATTCATTGCTGGTGAAAATGCAAAATTGTGTAGCCACTCTGGAAGACAGTTTGGCAGTTTCTTACAAAACTGAATATACTCTTACCATACAATCCAGGAATCATGCTCCGTGGTATTTACTCAAGTGAGTTGAAAACTATGTCCACACAAAAACCTGCAAATGTAGGTTTATAGTGCTTTATTCATAATTGCGAAAACTTGGAAGCAAACAAGATGTCACTCTGTAGGTGAGTGGATAAATGGAATATTAAGTGCTGAAGAGGAATGCACTATCAAGACCCCCAAAGACACAGAAGGACCTTAAAAGCATATTGCCAAGTGAAAGAAGTCCATCTGAAAAGGCTACATACTGTATGAGTGCAAATATAGGACATTCTGGAAACCTACGGAGAAAGTAAGAAAGGTCACTGGTTGCCAAGGATCTGATGGAGAGAAAGGGAGGCATGAACAGGCAGAGCACAGTGGACTTTTAGGGCAGTGAAATTAGTATGTATGATACAGTAATGGTGAATATATGTCATTGTATATTTTCAAAACCCATAGTATATACAATACAAAAAGTGGACCCCATCGTAAACTATGGACTTGAGTTAATAATAATGTGTTAATATTGGATCATCAATTGTAATAAATGCACCACACTAATACAAGATGTAAATTATAGGGGAGTATATGGGAATTCTCCTTACTTTCTAGTCATTTTTCTGGAATTAAAACTACTCTAAAAAAATTGTCTATTAACTCAAAAAAAAAAGAAATTACAGGAATCAATTTTCCTCTGAATGTTTACTTTAATGATGTCTTGTCCGACAGGGTTAGAATAATAAGAGAAAGAACTATTTGAAAATTCTGAGGTTATATCAAATCATTTCCAAATAGGTATTGGTTGTCTTGAATTAAACATCCCCCTTTTAAAAACCACAGTAGTAATGCATGCTCCTTGTAAAAAGAAAAAAGTGATCTGGGACTTCTGGCCAAGATGGAGGTATAGGTAGATACACTTTGCCTCCTCACACAACCAGAAGAAGGACAACAACAAATTTAAAAACAACAAATAACCAGAACTGCCAGATAATCAAACTGTATGGAAGTCCAACAAGCAAGGAGTTAAAAAACAAACATTCATCCAGATCAGTAGGAGTGGGCAGAACAGATGTACATCAAGGAGGTGGCTGGAGGACCAGGCAGGTGATTCTGGTGGACTGGGAGGTCCCACATTTGTGAGCAGATAAACTGGGAGGAACATCTGGGGAGCGAGACAGACCACACAACCCAGGGTTCCAGCAGAGTAAAATAAAGCGTCCAAACCTCTGGCTGTAAAAAACTGTGGGGGATGCAGCTGCGGGAGAAACTCCCAGCCTCACAGAAGAGTTCATTGGAGAGACCCGCGAGGTCCTAGAGCATGCACAAAACCACCCACCCAAAAATCAGCACCAGAAGGGCCCAATTTGCTTGTGGGTTGTGGGTGAAGTGGCTGAAAGCCAGCCAAGGGCCAGGGAAGGGGGATTGCTCCCTGTTGGACCCCTCCCCCACATACAGTGCTACAATGCAGCCGAGAGGGTCACCCTGCCCCAGCGAATATCTAAGGCTCTGCCCCTTCCAATGTAACAGGCAGGCCGAGACAAAGAAAGATGGCCCTAATGAAAGAACAGATCAAAGCTCCAAAAATAGAACTAAGCAATGAAGAGATAGACAACCTGTCAGATGCACAGTTCAAAACACTAATAATCAGGATGCTCACAGAAATGATGGAATATGGTCTCAAAATGGAGGAAAAAATGAAGGCTTTGCAAAGTGAAATAAAGGAAAATACACAGGGAACCAACAGTAAAGGGAAGGAAACTGGGACTCAAATCAACCATTTGGAGCAGAAGGAAGAGATCAACGTTCACCCAGAACAGAATGAATAAACACGAATTGAAAAAAATGAGGAGAGCCCTAGCTGTTGTGGCTCAGTGAATTGAGTCCTGGCCTGTGAACCCAAGGGTCTCCGGTTCGATTCCCAGTTAGGGCACATGCCTCAGTTGCAGGCCAGGTCCCCAGTAGGGGGCACATGAGAGGCAACCACACATTGATGTTTCTCTCTCCCTTTCTTCCTTCCATCCCCTCTCTCTAAAAAATAAATACTAAATAAATAAATAAATATCTTTAACAACAAACAAACAAAAACAATTAGGAGAGGCTTAGGAACCTCTGGGACAACTTTAAATGGTCCAATATCTTAATCATAGGGGTGCCAGAAGAAGAAGAGGAAGAGCAAGAAATTGAAAACTTATTTGAAAAAATAATGAACTTCCCCAATCTGGCCAAGGAAAGAGACTTCCAGGAGTCCAGGAAGCTCAGAGAGTCCCAAAGATGATGAACCCAGGGAAGCACACACCAAGGCACATGATAATTACATTGCCCAAGATTAAAGATAAAGAGAGAATCTTAAAAGCAGCAAGAGAAAAGGAGACAGTTACCTGCAAAGGAAATCCCATAAGACTGTCAGCTGATTTCTCAAAAGCAACCTTGCAGGCAAGAAGGGGCTGGCAAGAAGTATTCAAAGTCATGAAAGGCAAGGATTTAATTTCAAGATTACTCTCTCCAGCAAAGCTATCATTTAGAATGAAGGGGCAGATAAAGTGCTTCCCAGATAAGGTCAAGTCAAAAGAGTTCATCACACCAAGCACTTACTACATGAAATGTTAAAGGGACTTACCTAAGAAAAAGAATACTGAAAACTATAAACAGTAAAATGACAACAAACTCACAACTATCAATAACTGAACCTTAAAAAAAAACAAAACCAAAAACAAACTAAGCAAACAACTAGAACAGGAAGAGAATCATGGAAATGGAGATCAGAGAGGAGGGGAAGAAGGGAGAATCGGAGGAAAGGTACAGGGAATAAGAAGCATAAATGGTAGGTACAAGATAGGCAGGGGGAGATTCAGAATAGTATAGGAGATGGAGAAGCCAAAAAACTTGTATGTACGACCAATGGACATCAACTAGGGCAGGGGAAATGCTGGTGGGAGGGGAAATGCAGGGCAGAGGGGAATAAAGGCAAGAAAAAAAAATGGGACAACTGTAATAGCATAATCAATTTTATATATATATATGAAAAAGAAAAAAGCAATACAAAGACAAATAAAACAAGTATAAGTTCCCATCCCTACACACAAATCTCAGTCATCAGAGATAATCAACTCTAATCTGTCTCGTGGTCTAGTGTGTCCTGGGATTGTTCTTAATTCTTTTCTCTTCATCCTATTTATTCACTCCATCTCCAAGTTCCATAAATTTTGCTTAAATGTCTCTGGAATTCATCCCCTCCTACCATGATCTCTTACCTGGACTATTGTCTATTAACTGGTCCCCCTGCCTTCAGTCTTGTCTCTTTTTAATCTGTTCTCCAACAATTCACTCTAAAACCAGTGAGTTTTCTCAGATGTAATTCTGATCACTATGTCATCATGCTCATTTAAAGTCCTTTAAGGACTTCCCATCACCAGCAGCATAAATGGCTTATACTGGATGACCCTTTCTGGTATTGCTCTGCCTCCCTTTCCAATTTATCTCCTCCTACCAAGTAACACCTTGTGCACAATCATGCCTAATCCTGGCAAAGAACACAGCTGCGCCTCCAGCACGTTGTTTCCTCTGCCTGGAGCACTTTTCCCACCTACAGCACCTGGAAAGCACCTATTCATCCTCTAAGACTCAACTCAAGTCTTCACAGGCGAAATCTTCCTCCATGGGCAAATGTCTGACCCTCCTTAGGCAGTTGATCACTGTCAGGAAACTCTACACACACAATTTATCACTTTCTGTTATTCAGCTGTCTTCCCTATGAAAGTTCCTTGACAGCAAAGCCAGTGCCTTGCTTATCTATAGCTGTAGCCATAACTATATTTAGCCCCATCACTCAGCCTTTTGCCTGCCACATAGTAAGGATGCAATAAATCCCTGATGAATGATATGCCCAAACATGGGATTTCCCTTAGGAACTTACAACTGTAACAGCATCTAATGAGCCCAAAGTAAAGCCAATTACCAATAATGAGTACTCAACTCCATTTCAGTCTTTTTTCCTGAGATACATTTTTGTATCACTTTACTTGAAAACCGGCTCCTTGCTTCACGTTCCCCTCATTTCCTCCACCTATGTCCCTCCCTCCCCGCCACCCCTACCCCTTTAGCAGCCTTCCGCTCTCCCTGTTCCATTTTTCGCTCTCCTGCCAGCAATGAACACTTCTAAGCAGCGACAGAGGTGCTGGGAGATCTGGACTGGGGTGAAAACCTGCCCCGGAGAAGCTGTGTATGACAAGGACACCTGTTGGCACTAGTCGGACAAATCAGAGCCTGGAGACCAGGGCAGCACCCTGGGGCAGAGACTGGCACTTTAGTAACAGACGCCCTGAGGCTGGGAAATAACAAAAGCATTTAAGGAAGCTGACCAACCACAAGCTGTCATTATTTACCTGGCTGTTGGCAGAAAATTAGAACGGTTTTAAAATGTAACAGCTGAGAGTGAACTTACCCACTTCACTGCCAATATGCAGCAGAGCCATTCAATTCACACTTACTGAATGGTCCTTATTTATTGCAATGTCAATAGAACTAAGAAAAATCAAAATAAAGCTTGATGGGGTGGAGGAGTATTATCAACAGCATTCTGATCATAATTCATATTATGAAGCCAGAAAAAAAAAGAGCCAAAAATGTCACTATTAGAAAATTAATCTTTTTATCTGTGCCTTCTAATCTGTGATCCCTCAGAAGAGTAACTTAACTGATGGGAACTGTGTGCAGGCAGCCAATACACTGACCCCAAAGATCTGTATTTCCTGATAGTCACAACCTGGTGTAATCCCTTTCCCTGGAGTGTGGGCTGTGCTTAGTGACCCCCTGTTACGCACTAGAATGTGGCAGGGGCACAGGATATGGGGATATCACTTCCGAGATTAGGCAACAAAGACTGTGGTTTCTGTCCTGGGCAGCGACTCTCACTCTCACCTCCCACTCTCTTCATGAGAGCTGCCCCGGGGGAGGTCCCTGTGGCCAGCACGTGTGGGGCTCTCTGGACAACAGTCAACACGTTGACTGCAACCTCATAGAGACCTTGGGCCAGAGATACGGTTAACCGTGCCCGTACTCCTGGCCCACAGAAACCGGGAGATAATAAACACTGTTTTACCTGTTAAGTTTTGGAGTAATTTGTTAAGCAGAAATTGATAACTGCTCCAGGCTACATCCTCCATATCTGTCAAAGAAGATCTGAACGCCACCCCGTTTATATTATACCCAAAGTGAGTATTCCAACAACAATTGCTTTGGTTTACTCGTTGGTTAAAGAGAAGTGGCTTCTTGACCCTCTGATACTAATAATTATCACTGATTACTCTTCTGTTGGAATTGATGAGACCTGTAAAGGCTTATATTTGAACAAGTGATTGTATTATTAAATAAAAATTCTTCAAGTCTGCTCAGAAGCCATTAGTGCTAAATACCTATGCCAGGATTAATAAAATGAGAAAATCTGAAGAGCCTGCACCTGCTTGGAGGTAAAACCTTCTCTTCCTTGTGGAAATCATGGTTCATCCCAATCTCGTTGCTCAGCTTGGAAACATCGTTACCTGTATCTGTCAGACCTGTGACAAAAGAACACATGGTGGACAAGAGCGAACCTGCCCACGTCTGAATTTCTAGTTTATGCAGAGATTCATTTCCCTCAGTAGGTCCCAAATTTGGATTTGTACACGAACCCATTCCACCATTCTAGTCATTTATGTTTTCTGAACACTAGGCCCCATGACTATGCCTCTCAGCGTAGTGTGGCATGGGAGAGAGGGAGGACAAAAAAAGTTATTTAAAAGAAAAACAGAAAGTGAAACTGATTAAAACCTTTCTCTTACAAAGTAAAATAGTAATTTAAGTAGCAAAGAAACTATTTGCAAAAATAAACATTATGATAAACACGTATTACGATTTCACATTGTTTTTCTCCCTTTGATAAAGTTCAGTTCTCCACACAGATGGCACTGAATGGTGCCAATGTCACTTGGTCTTCTAAAGCAGTAGTGCCCATGTTTTGAGGTTTCACGGACTAATAAAATATCCACAAAGATTTTGACAACCACTTGCCAACTTTTTGTTTGGTTGTGTATGCACAAGGAAACAAAAAAATAAGCAAATAAAAAAAAAATCCACTGTACCACCACCAAAACCATCATTTAATTAAAGAAAGGACAGTGTAACTTCCAAAAGAGTAGAAAGGGAACAGTCAGAATAAACATTAGGCCTTTAAATGCAATCACTTCAACTTTAGGAAAAGCTTATCATAGTATCTTTATTTCATTGTACCAAATATTGCTAAGAATTGTTGCCCTAGTATTTGGGAACCATGCTCTAAGTTCTCAGCAAAGACCCAGCTGACAGCATTCTTTTCTAAGAGGCAGATAGGGTAGTTATCTGCCCTTAGCATATAAAACAAAGCTGCACACAATAAATCATAATTTTTCACTCTTTCAATGAAGCTTCATAATTTGTTCACAGAAAATCATTTGGCTCCAGGATGTGGAGGGGATACAAATGAACTAAGATTGGACATGACTTGACAATTGTTGAAGCTGGGTTGTGAGTAAATGGGGGTTCATTCATTATACTAGCCCCTATACTTCTGCAAATGTTTAAGTTTTCCATTAGTAAAAAGATTTAATGATGTAAAAAGGAAAAAGTTATTGTAGACAAAAGGTTACACAAGAGAATGCCTTTGTTCTTAGAAGATACATGATGAAATTTTTAGAGGTTCATGTCTCTTATTTTCCGTAAGAGAAAAAATATACATGTAGAGAGAGAGCACATGCAATGTGGAGGAAATGTTTACAATGTGAGCATTCACTGTATTTTCTTCTTGACTTTTCGACAGATTTAAAATATTTCAAAAGAAAAAATTGAGAGAAAGAAGATGATGGCAGAATTGACCAAAGTCCCTGCTCAGGTAATCATACAGGAGAATTGAACTGTAGGTGGATAGTTGAAGTTCCCTTTATTATATGAGACCTCTCTGAAGGCTTTAGTTCCAGCCAAAATGGCAAACACAAGTCAAATACGTAAATAGACTTACCACTAATTCACTAATTCAAAGTGAGAACTAAGAGAAAATCTTCAGAAGTCAAGCTCTAACAGTTTATTGAAGGACTGAGGGAAATATACACAGAAACACTTTCCAACTACAACAAATCGAAGGTCATAGCCTCCTTTGACAAGATTGTTCTTGCTCACCACAGCACTATGGAACTCCAACAGCTGCAAAATACAGGAAAGAGGAAGGCTCAAAGAGAAACTAGAGGTAAAATGCACTAGTGTAGATTTTAAAAATTCAGATTCCAAGAACAAAGAAATTTTCAAAATAATTTAGTAACTTACCAAATCAACCTAGTACATAAAATTTCAAATTTATTTTTAAAAAGAGTTCACTTATTCATTTTAATGAGTTATTTTGTCTATGGATTCATTTAAATAGCCACCTCAAGAACTTAAATTAGTTGAATTGTATTAAAAAAGAAAAAGGGGGGGGGGACTTCCTCCCCATAGCACCGTAACAGGTTCATATCTACTGAATGTTACTTCAACGGAGCTTTCCAAGCACCCAATTTGCCGCATTAGTGCCAGTCTGTTAACCAGCAGCGACCCCAGGTGGCTACAAGAGAAACAAACGCAATTCAACAGCAGGGCCTTGAAGTAATTTTTATTTCAGTCTTCAAGAATTTAACTTATGTTGTGGGATGTGGACAGGTCTTCGGATTGATGACTAGTTGAACTCTCTGGAGGTTATAAGAGAAATGCAGGATGAATTCCAGTGAGATTAAACCAATCCAAGTGACGTGTGCTCCAATAGGAACATAAAAGATAACATCTATAGTATTTAGAGAAGAATATGAGCTCTGAGCAGTATTACTCTTGAGACAAGGAAGCACCGACAGAACAATTCCCGTAAGGAATCACTTGGGTTCTTTAAAAACTACCCCAAGTCTCTGCCATTTTCCACCTACAAATTGAGAATACAAGAATAACAAAGATGGCTTTGAACTGACACAGGCTCAAACCTTACCAGATTCAAGTAATCATGCTCAAGTCACTTCTTGCTCCAGGACCGAAAACTCTGCGAGGACCTTGTGGTCAATAGGACTATAGATTGGGGTTGCGGGGAGAAGGCAAGTCAAAAGAGAGGAAGGATGACCAGAGTACTCTGGGGCCGTGGCGGCTGCCGACCTTTACTTAAAGGGCTTCTTCCGACCTGACCCACACTAAGCACCCCCGAGGGGCGACGGCGCCCCCAGGACAGGACCTACGAGGGGTTGAAGCCTCGGGGATGCTCTTGCCCTTTTGGTTCCGTTCTGGTGTTCTGGGCTTACAGGAGCGGCTCTCTGCAACGGCAGGATCCTCCAGGGGCACGTTGTCTTCGACGTCCTGCATTTTGCTGATGGAACCTGGGTGCGGGAGAAGCGGCGCGCCGTTGGCGGCGGCGGGGCAGGGGCTCTCCAACTGCCCGAGGGCGTCTGAGGCCCGGCCCATTGCTTCAGAGGTCTCTCGGGGGACAGAGTGGGGCAAAGGAGCCTAGAGGAGGAGGGACGGGGGATCCGCGAGGGGTCGAGCGTTGGAGGCCGAAGGGGAAACAGGCCAGAGGGCCCAGGCGCAGGGAGGGCGCGCTGGGCAGGGCCCTCCCCGGACCGCCAGGCGACCTCCTCACCCGAGACGACCTCCTCAGCCCGCCCGGCTCCGTCAAGGGGAGCCCCGGGGGCCAGGACTCCTCACCGCCTCCCCCGTCACCCGCAGCCTACCCCTGGAGCAGGCTCCGCGGCCGCGCGGCCCGAGGCTCGGGCCGAACCACCGCGCGGGCGGCGGGGGCGTGCGGCCGGGCAGGGCTGCTGCGCGGCGCGCCAGCGACCAAGCCAACCCTGCGCGCACCCCCTCCCGCAACGCCAGGAGTCCTGGGTGGCAAGTCCCGGACTTGAAAACAAACCACAGCCCGTCTCCCAGGGCAACAGGGTGGGATCACATGCCGGCCTTGCCACCCGCCACCCTCGTCTGCACGAAGTCTCCCAGCCCTTTGGTTGCACGATTGCTGAGGCTGTCCCTGTGTGACATCTCCTAGTCGTCACGACAAAAATCACCTGGAACTACTTAGGAAGGGAAGGGGCGCTTTATTTTGTTTCTCCTCAGCCTTTCCTCTAGGTCTAGATGCGCAGAAGCACACCGGCATGTCCCACGCTCACTGTGACAGAATCAACGTGCTCCCTCCCGTTCTACAGGTGTGGACAAAATGAGAGCCCTGTGCTGGTCAGCGGGTGCCTGCGGGCTGGCAGGCTCTTCCTACTGCATTCCTGGCCTGGGGCACATCTGCGACCTGGGGCTGGGCCCCGGCTCATTGGCCCGGGCCCCAGCTCATTGGCCCCAGGACAACGGCCCTTCCTGGTCCCGCTCTGCTCTGTTGCCCCTGGAGCGATGTGCGAGACTGGAGTGGCCTCCTTCCCCTCCAATGCCTGCACTTTGAGGGGTAAGATGAAAAGAGTGCCTACTCCACACTCTCCCATTCTTTATTACTCTGACTTGATTTCTTACCACAGAAGCTTGCCTAACAAAAAATAAAATAAAATAAAAGATGAAAACATTGCCTGTAAGAAACCAAGTTCTCATTACAACCCTTGCCTTGTTAAGGAGGAATGTGGGTTTTTCTTCCACATTCATTTGTTCATTTTCAGGGAAAACTGCAGAGGCCACGGAACATTTTTGCTTAAGAAAGTGCACTCAACTCTGAGGCCCAGGAAGATATGGGGGGAGTGGCCTAGTGAAGTTACTGTTTAGCCAGAGTATCTCAAAAGGGTAGGTATTAAACCTGCCCCTTCTTCTTCCTCCATGGTTTCTTGGTATTTCCCCCAGGGGTGCCACCTGTGAAGCGTGCTGGCCTTCACCTCAACCCAGGAGTGGGAGGAACTTGTATGATTTCAGCAAAGAGTTCAATGAAAATATGATTCTTCATTTTACATAGGCTGGGTTGTTGATTTCTTTTTAAAAAAAAAAAATCCAGAATTCTGTTTGGGCATTTTTATTTGTGGGAGAAATTTTCCAGAATGACATCAGTCTTTTCCCCCACAGAAATGACATTGCCAAAAACTCTCCCTGTTGATGCCTGAAATTACTCCAGCAGTTTATTCATATATTACACAGCTTCTTTAAGTGCATGCTTTAAACCCAAGTTCTCCAGAAGGGGCAATGGGGAGAAATGGGAACTCACAGTGGAGGTGGGGGAACTGAAGCCAGAATAGGAGTAAAAGATGGGGTAGGAGAGAAAGGGTTAACATTTTCCCAGGGTCAGCCAGGGGGCAGTATTTCACGATCTTTATCACGAATATATCATTACTGACTAGGCAAAGTTAAAAGTTGAGGGGAGTAGAATGATGATGTGAGAGATATACCCTCCTTCTCTTTGGGGTCTTAGTTAATAACTGATTTTTGTTTAATGATTTACAGAATGCTTCTACATGGCGAATCCATATGCTCTGCACACAATCCTACCTGTTCAGCCGGCAAGGTAGATGTTTTGGACCATTTAATAGACAAGCAAACTGGGGATCAGAAAGATTAGGGGGAGTTTACCAAAAGTCACCATGGCAAGCAAGGTCTTGACTCTTGATCATATATTTTTTCTTAAGTTGCACCACCTCCCTAACTCTGGCTGAGAAGCTGTATAAAGAAGAAAACACAACTAACATGTTATGGTATAGTAAGTACCAGAGCTGGTGGGCCAAACAAGAAGTGCTGCTAGTGGTCAGACAAAGGGTAAGAGAGCTTCCAGATGTTCATTCCAGGTCAGGTTGTCCAAATACAGCCTTTAGCCAGATCCTAGGCAAGACTGGGTCACTGAGTTGGTCTTTGGAAATGGGTCTCTTGTTTAGCTTGGCTCCCTCTCAACCCAGACCCTCTTTAAACTCTCCTAATGGGCGAAATTGGACTTCCCACAAACATCTATTGTTTAGAGGGAATGCTCCTCCTGAGTAACTTAACAACTTTACCTTACTAAAGTGCACATATCTCAAAAGACCTGCAGGTAAGTATTCCTCAAGCCACCCAAGAACAGAAGTAAAAGCCCCATGGCTCTCACAGGACAGTGAGCCCAAAGCTGTCCATCACAGGTTCCCCTTTTATATTAAGATGTCCTATGACTTTTACCTTCCATTCATAGTATATCCATGTTTGTTTTAATACTAAGTCTATTTGTTCTCTGCAAATTTTTGAGAATTCTTATTTCAGAAGGAAGGGCTTCCAATAATCGCTGGTGCACCTCTGTGTATCCCTGTGGGTACATACACCCCAGTTTGAGAAGCAGTCTAACCTAACATGAAGCTAGAATTTTCCTACTTCTCAACTGGTTCCCCACATGTGTGAGCTTTAACCCAAACCCAAAAGTATGATTTATTCTCATTTGTTAAATGTTATCTTGGGTACACCATCCCACCAAAGCAAACTATACAGAAAGACATTCTGAAAGAGGAGTGGATAAAGTCAAAGATGTAAGAGAAATACTCTTAGGTGGTCACAAGAGGTGCAGAACCACATAATTGAAGGGGAATCCTACATATGGATCTGCTAGCTTTGTGAAATAAAACAGAGTAACAGAAGCAAAAAACACCTCACTTTGCAAAGAAGCATCTCAGGCTCAGTGAGGTTAAATGACTTGGCTGAGGTCATCACCAGCTTATGGAAAATTCAGGACTAGAACCCATATCACAGCCTGTTTGTTTCATAACATATAGAGCTAAGCATGAAGAAAAGCTAATACTGTAAATAAATATTTACATTTCTTAAAGAAAAATGTAAATGATAGGCCATGGAACGGAAAAAGTCAGAGATGGAGAACCTGAGACTACAAGTGCCGGAGGGTGTACTGGACGAGAGACAGTCAACTGCAGTGGTAGGGACTCATAAATACAGGGCAGAGCATTAAAATGGAACCACTTGGAGTCATTTAAACTGGGACTGACTTCATTATAGCCTCTCTATGGCACAGAACTGCATGTCAAAACTGTTCGTTTTAGTCCTGTGACAAATGTGTTTTCTTCACAGAACCCAAGAGCAGTGTGAGAAAGGTTGAGGTAACCTGGGGGGAATCTGGATGTAGCCCTTTGAAGCTCAGCGTGGTGTGGTGGATAGGGAAACCATTGCAAATCTTTAGGGAGAGGGGCTCCCAGAGAGGACAAAGAAGATTCTGGCACCAGCATTGACTGCGTGCTTGTCCAGCCACACCTCATTCCACCACAGGCTCCTTTCTGTGCTGCGGTCCCTCCCTGCCAGCTAGGGTGCTTCTCCCTCCTCTAACGCTCCTTCCGCTCACCGATTCCCTCTTATTCTTCAGGTCTAGCTTATAAGACCTAACTTCCTCAGAGATGCTTCTATGGCCCTCCATTAGCTTCTCTCAACACCCTCTACTTTCTCTTCATAGCACCCACTACAGTGTGTATGTTTGGTTGTATAACCAACCTTTCTTGAGTGTCTTAGCCCCCGGGAGACTGTAAGCTTTCTGAGAACAGACACTATACATTTCATTCACCACGCAGTGCCTGGAACATAGAAGGTACACAATTGATAAGTGTAGCTTGAACTAATAGAAACAAACAGGGGAAGCAGCAAACCCGGAGGAGCGAGTGACGTAGGAGGGGCCACTGCCCGGGACACACCCAAGTAGTCAGGCAAAGTGTGTCTCTCTGGACCCAGTTTCGGTTCCCAGTGTCTTCCTCTTCTTTGTCTCATAGACGTGTGTCCTCTCTTTGCATCTCCCCTCTGTTCTTAGCTTCCTGAGAGTCTTTAAATCGGCAAAGACAACATCCTTGAGGAAAGGAAAGAGGCTTTTTTTAGGGTCCTGTGACAGGAGGGTCCCCTCTCTGAGCCAGGAGGGGGCAGCAGGGGGCAGTGCACCCTGGGAGAGTAACTTACAGAGGCAGATTCCTGCTGAGGGAGCCTCAGAGACTCAGTGACTCGCCCTCCCTCAAGCCAGGGTCAGCAGCAGCCCAAAGCCACAAACACTGGCTTTAAAAGTCCTCCTAAGAGCTGCATCTTTCGAGTCCCCAAAACAATCGCGCCTTGTACCTCAGGACACGGTACAAGTTACATACTTAAAGCAGTTTCCACAGAACCACATTCAGTTGGTTTTAAACTCTGGGGAAAGCTGGCAGCCTCTTTGTGGGTTTTTAAAAAAAACTAGTTAGAGGGACAATTAAACCTTTATGGGCCCCAGAATATACCTATGCAGACATAAATAAGGATCATTCTTCATCACCAGGGAGAATCCACTTTCTGGCAACAGACATTTTCCTGCCATTGCAGGACAAAGTTGAGCTTAGGTCTGAGAGGCTTTATGGTTAAGGCAGGTGATGGGGGTCTGCGTGAGCAGTTAGAACTTTGACCCCAAGTGTGGCACAGGCCTTTTCTCAGAATGGACAGAT